AGCAACGGTACATAATCTTCATATTTTTTTCATTTAAAATATACTAGCTGCGCCCCGCGGGATTACCTGCGGATTTCCGAGATTTTCGGGATTTCCGGGATGTAAAGTAGCCTATATGTTATTCCTGGACGTCAGCTTCCTGTATACAAGATTTTATCAAAATCGGTTCAGCTGTTTGAGCATGAAGAAGTAACAAATATACACACACACTCACAAACTTTCGCAATTATAATATTAGTAGGATTTACTTAAAATAAATTTATATACATATATAAATATGGTGTTTTTTATACCGGAGCACCCTGTATACAGTCCGTGGGCAGGTATAGATGCACCTGAGTATTTTACGCCCCGACTCGCCGGCGCCGCGGTGACAGCAACTAGGCTCTCTACAATATAACTTCCTAAACGGTAAAGTATACGTACAATATGACTACAACTATACACATAATAAAAAAAACTTACAAACTAAGTGGCAAAACTATGTAGAATAGAATAAAAAATATAAATAAGATAGAGAAAATATCTTTCTGTTATAATTACTATGTAATTTCTATTTGGTAAGACGCAAACTTTTATAGTCACAATTATCACTTAGTATATTCAAATTTAATTCATACATACATGTAATTTTTTATTATATTTTCTATATATATAAGAGATTTCCACCGATATAGTATATTGACTCATAATAATATCTTGGGAAATTTGAAGCGTAGAGTTTAAACATTTGTTAGGAATACTTCTTTTGAAGTGTAGAGGTCAGCTAAGAACAGATTTTACGATATTCCACCCAAAAGGGGTGTTGCGAAAGCGACAAAAACGAAAAAATTTGTTCCAATATGTGGTAGGAATAGTCTATGTATGATGTACAAATTATCTATAAGCGAATTTTATATTAGCTTATCCCCAATAATTATTACTTTGGTGAGTGTTAACAATGAAAATTTTAAATTTCTGTATTTTATGCTGCGAAAGACAGGTAATGGCTAGTTAACAAAGTTAACTACATCCAGCGATCAATGTTTGTCTTTTGACTATTAACAAGGACTTCAACAATACTACATAGAATTAATTGATTATTATTATATCGCACTGAGAATATTTAATATTAATTGTGTACTCAATAAAAAATAAATAAATAAATACTCGTGGTGATTAATGCTCAAAAAACCTTCTCCATGTGAGAAGAGGCTATGCTCAGCAGTGGGCGTTAATAGGCTGATGACTCAATAAAAACAGCGATGAGATGTCATAGACAAAGGAAGATAAAAGAAATTGCTTTTACATTTAAAAGATCTACATATTTTTTTCATTTGTAACATTAAGTTTCTTAGAATAATAATAAATGAAATGTTTTTTTAATATTTCACTTACTACCGCGATAAAATATATTGCATAGTGATTTCAGACGTGAAAATGACTCACAACACGAATCATGTCATATACAACTGTTTTGGTATTTGATAAGATACTTTGAAGACAAGACGTTTGACTGAATAATGATAGCTTAGTCATAATCATTTGATAAATATCCAATAATCAAAAAGCGCCATAATGCATTGTTTCACATAAATATTATTATTTAATTTATATATATTAGGTATCTGATACATAAAATAATGCTATAACATACACCAGTGTGATGCTCATCGAATTATATATAAGTGTTTTTAAAAAATCTATTATTTTTCCAATAGATGGAAGTCATCTCGCGGTACAGGTGAAACCAGTTAGTTCGATCGAGTTCTACTAGATGGCGTTGAAAAGACATAATTTCTTACTAAATACTTTTCTGATAATTTTGTGTCTAGCTGAAACACTTTTGATTAGCTTACTTCAGCGATGGGTATTAGCAAAGGTACAGTACCATGTATTTTACAAGTTTCCTTTGAGAATGGCAAAACCACAAGCATATGCGGCTGAAAATATTAATAAAGACTTTCAATTGCCCAAGAGCTAAAGGTTGTAACAGAAGCCATTTGAAACATAGGCTGGTTTCAAGATGATGCTCTATGTATTGGTGCCACACGAGTTAACACGAAACATCCTAATTGAACACCTTTCCTCTGCAAAGAATATCTATATTGCTATAAAATCGACCCAGTATTGAAACGGTTTGTAAAAGGTGAGAGTACGAGATTGATCGTGATCGTCAAAAGAAAACTATTATAAACAAATAATCTACTATAAATTGTTCCTTCCTGGCAAAAATCTTAATTCGACAAACTGAAGTCAAATTTAAAATATGTATATACAAAAAATTAGGAGATCATTTCAGCAGTAATCATAAAGTCCAAAACTGTTTGTTATTTGTTTTTATCAACACACAATAGGTATTATAAATTTCACACACACGTATGATAAGTCAATTCTTAATGTCTCAATGTTATCGTCACAAAATTTCAAACATACTTAATGTTTATTGAAGTTAAAATAATTAAATATAGATTGTATCATCCAATCGGCGATATATAGATAGATAGATAGATAATAGATAATATACTTTATTGTACACCAAAACAGAAGAAAAACAAGAAGCAACATAACAAAAAATGAAACATGGTACAAAAGGCGGTCTTATCGCTGAAAGAGCGATCTCTTCCAGAGAACCTTTGGATATAGGACATTGAATAAAAGAAAGGGGTTCGGAGGTGTACACTTTCAAATAAACCATAAATACACATACATAACATATTTACATAACATACATACATACGATTAATACGTTATATATATAATATATAAATACGCGTATAAATAAAATAATACATATGTTTTATAAATAAATTCAAATACATATAAATACATACTTATATAAAAAAGTACAACGATTTACAATGACAGATAATAGTCTTTTAAAAGCCTCTTAAAAACAGAAACGGATTGTGCACGTCTAATTTCTATGGGCAAGGAGTTCCACAACCGTACTGCTTGGACAGAGAAGGATTTAGTAAAGAAGGAAGAAGTATGGGAAGGAGTTTTAAGCGTGAGGTTTTGTTCAGAGCGAAGACTGCGGAAATGGGAATCACTAAGGAATTGGAAGGACTGTTTTAGGTAAATAGGGGCATTGGGGTTGAAAAGTATACAGTAGAGAAGAGAGAGAATGTGTGTATTCCTGCGAAGGCGAATCGGGAGCCACTCGAGCTTTTTGCGAAAATCGGAAATGTGGTCATACTTGCGAAGCCCAAATATGAACCTGATGCAAAGATTTTGAATGCGCTCAAGTTTGTTAAATTGATCTTCTCTAAGATCAAGATAACAACAATCTGCATAATCAAGAATTGGTAAAAGGATAGATTGTGCTAACGCAATTTTGGTGGGAATCGGTAAGAGGTTACGTAATCTACGTAGGGAACCAACAGCAACAAACATTTTTCTGCTTACCTCACTAATTTGTGGATTCCAAGAAAGGGTTTTGTCGAATATTATACCCAGATTTTTAATTTTATCGCTGTATGGAATTATGGCATTGTCAAATAATATAGGTGATAAAAGAGAAAAATCTATTCGTGAAATTAATATTGGACTGCCTATAATAATAGATTGACACTTAAGTGGATTTATTTTGAGACCGAATGAATTGCTCCAACTTAAGATCTTTTTTAAGTCTGAGTTAATTTTTTGTATTGTCAGTGGTAAATCTATTAACTTAGAGTGACAGTAAATCTGAAAATCATCGGCATACAGGTGGTAGAGAGAAGATATATTGTGAGTTATGGAATTAATAAAAATCGAAAATAGCAGAGGTGAAAGCACTCCGCCTTGGGGCACACCGGCATTTAAAATTGACCAATCAGAATAAGAGTCCTGAACTCGGATTCTTTGTCTGCGGCCATGTAGATAACTACGAAACCAGTCAATTACAGTAGGAGATATATTAAGAGAACTTAAAATAGCCAGTAATATGTCAAAATCAACAGTATTGAAGGCATTACTGAAATCCAGTAATGTCAAAACTGTAACTTCCTGGTTATCCATAGCTAATCTGATGTCATCGGTGATCTTAACTAAAGCAGTAGCCGTACTATGACAGGTTCGGAATCCCGACTGAAGTGGGTTAAATAGGTTATTTTTGGTTAGGAATAAATTCAGTTGTTGGTAAACAAGGCGCTCCAGGACTTTTGAGAGAAAAGGAAGTATGGATATAGGGCGGAAATCACTATAGGACGATGGATTAACTTTTTTCGGTAATGGGACGATTTGAGCGTCTTTCCAGGAGGAAGGATAAATACCAGTATTAATGGAATTATTAAGGATACATGTGATGACAGGAATAAGGTAATCAATGATAGGAATTATCATTTTACGGCTAATGCAGTCAGAGCCGACAGCCTCAGAATTTATGGCTAAAATATTCTTCTTAATATCACATTCCGTTAATTGACTAAAACTAAAAGATGGGAATGCTGGAGTGGATGAAGCAGAAAGATTATTTATTGTTTTTGATTTGACAGTGCCATCGATAGCAACTGCTGACGCGAAATGATTATTGAGCTGATTAAGGTCGACATTATTAAAGTTTGTGTCCGACTGAGCTTTCCCAACTCCAAGAGATTTCAGAAATTTCCAAACTTTAGAGGTATCGCCCTCCTCAACTACAGCTTTGTGAATATGCCGTCGACGTGTGTCTCTACACAGCCTGTTGCAACGATTTCGATACTTTATATATTTTTCTTTATTTGTGTCTGACGGATTAGATTTATATTTGGCTCTAGCTAAATTTTTCTTTTCTTGGAGACTTGGATATATTTTTTTATATTTTACTAGTTTTTTGATTAAATACCCAGAAACGTTTTTAATTGCTATCAAGTATCACGTATTTATTTACACACCTAAAGATTGAAAACTAACACAATACTCAAAATATTAACAAAAACATTACGACGAGACAAAGTCATAAAAATGATAAGAGAATTAATCCTCTGGCGATACATATTATCTTTCAATGTGTCGTTATATATAGACCAGTTTAGTGTAAGTCATTTCAACAATTTATAATGGCTTTAATAGAAATAAGTCAGGGTTATATCAAAGGCGGAAAAACGACTACGGACAGTGGAGTGTCCTACTATGAATTTCTTTGTATCCCTTATGCCAAACCACCGGTTGGAAACTTGAGATTTAAGGTAACCTACAATTTTATTGTTTTAAATTAGGCATTATTTTTACTTTTCCAAACAATTTTACGTTTATACAAATATATTTGTGAAATTTACAGAGCCCTGAACCTCTTGAAAAATGGGATGGTGTTTTAGACGCAACAGAATATAAGGAAGACAAAGTGTGTGTGCAAATTATTTCAGAGAATAATAGTTGTATTGGAAATGAAGATTGTTTGTATCTTAATGTTTATACACCTAAACTACCGGAATTTTATTCTAAGCTATTGCCCGTTATGGTGTTTATCCATGGAGGTGGTTTCGTTAGAGGCAATGGTATAAATAATAAAGAACTGGGACCCCAATATCTCATAGATAAAAATGTTGTTGTAGTATCTTTAAACTATAGACTTGGAGTTCTTGGATTTCTTAATTTAAATATTCCGGAAGCTTCTGGAAACATGGGCCTGAAAGATCAGGTTCAGGGACTTAAATGGGTTCAGCAAAATATAGATAAATTTGGGGGTGACCCGCATAACGTCACACTGTTTGGAATGAGTGCTGGATCAGTATGCGTAGAATGTCACTTAGCGTCTCCTTTGTCTGAAGGACTATTCCACAAAGCGATTCTTCAATCTGGTTCTTGCCTCAGTTCTTGGTCTATTAATCATGAACCTTTCGAAGGTGTTCTTAAACTTATAGAGAAGATGGGTTACACTGGATCCACCGAAGACAAAAAAGCTATTCTTGAATTTTTGGTCGCAAGCCCTATAAATATATTATCAAACAAAGCTGGTGAAGTAGATCTTGAATCAATTTCTGCGAGGGGTCGATTTGAATTCATTCCAACCATAGAAAAGAATTTTAGCGATGGAAATCAAATGCTTACTGAACATCCATACAAATTAATAAAAGATGGACAGTTTAACCGTGTGCCTACAATAATGGGTGTCTGTGAAAAAGAGGGTTACTTTTTGGAGGTCGTTAAAGCGAATTCTTTCCGTGATATAAGTGAAAATAAAAATTTCGTAGACTACTTGCCTTACAAACTTGAAGAAAACAAAGACGTGGTTAATAAACATTTTCTATCAGTTTACTCTATGAACCTTACAAAAGATGATGATGATAACAAATTGGCTTTGGATTTCTTCGCTGACCTTGATTTTGTAGCTGGGTGCTACTTAAGAGGTGATGTAATGGCTAGGAAAGGAGTTCCCGTATATTTCTATGAATTCCATTATGACGGAAACATTAATCACTGTAAAATGTTTTTTAATATAAAAAGAAAAGGACCTACACACGGAGATGAATGGGCTTACATTTTTGAACATGATTTAGTATCAAAATCCGCTGATGAGAAAGATGCTTCCGTAAGGGAAACTGTTACAAAACTGTGGACCAATTTTGCAAAAACAAGGTAAATAGTACTTAATAATTTTTATTATTTTATAAAAAATTTCCATTGCAATTATCTTAATACAATATTCATTGTAATTTCAGTAACCCTACACCAAACGACGATTTAAACATTCGTTGGCCGTCATATAACACATCGAAGTGCTGTCTCTTTATTGACGAAAAACCAGAAATCCAATCAAACTATCTGGCAAATAGAAAAGACATATTCCCTAAAATGTATAATATTGCAAATTAAAGAGTAAATAAATAGACTTAGTAGTAAAAAATATATATATTTTTATACAGTCATGTACATTTTGTTCATAGATAACATTTATTATTTAGGCTCCTTTAATATGTACAATATTTAATGTTCGGAATATTTACTAAATAATTCATCAAATAGTTTTGTTCTTTCCGTCCGTGCGTCCTCATTCATTGTTAATTTGTCATTAATCATTAAACAGTTGAAACCATTCTCTGCTAATGGTTCCCAAGTTGTTGTTATAACTTCATCGATTTCAGGTGTTGGATCTCTGTAATATAAGAAATATATTTAGCAAAAAGGTTTAATAAGTATTTTTATTTTATGATAAGGTATTAATAAAAAATTACCCGAATTTAGCGAAATTAGTCCACATTGTACACATTCTCTCTCTCACTAATCTATCTGTGTCAGTTACATCTCCTTGTAATAAACCAGATTTAACTAAATAACCACCCTCATCGCCGTGACAGGCGCCTTTCCTATTGATATTCAACTTTTTCTTCAAATAATTCAAGTTCCCATCATATGAGAACTCATAAAAGTACAACGGAGAAACATGTTTTGAAATTAATGCTGCAGATACAAATATGCCACCGCAGAAGTCAACATCAGAAAAGAAATCTATTGCATAGAAGTCACTTTCATTGTATTTGTTAACACCTTCTAGATAAATATTTTTTAATTTAGTTTGTAATTCAGTTTTTTGTGAATTGTCTATATCAAATGGTAATAGGGACAAAAAGTTTTTCTCTTTTACTAATGTATCAAATGTAGCTTTGTGAATTGAATACATCATTAGTAAGCCTTCACGATCACAGTAACCTATCATATAGGGCACTTTATGTATTTCTCCTTGTTTTAGCAGATCATATGGAGATTTTGTAAGGAATGGTTCCCAATCTCCATCTTCCTCAACAGTAGGAACAAAACCAAAGTTAAGTCCACCTTTTGAGTTCTCTAAACCTATCACTAACATTGACATAGTAATCAAATCTTTTGTAGATAGATTCTTTAAAAGTTGCACCAGATCTTGGTTATCATTAATATTTTTCTTCTTAATAATAGGGAATTTTAGCACCAATTCTTTTATGTTATTATTCTGTGACCAATGTAGCAGTGATGATCCAGATTGAGCTATGGCCTTGTGGAATAATCCTTTGGACATTGGCGACAACATCTGCAATTCCACGGACGCCCCGCCAGCGCTCACACCAAATATAGTGACGTTATTGGGATCACCATTGAAGTTTTTAATATTATTTTTTATCCATATCAATGCCTGCACTTGATCCTTCAAACCCATATTACCAGGGGCTTCCTTACAGCCAAGTGAGAGAAAACCAAGAATGCCAAGTCTATAATTAAGAGTAACAACTACAACATTCTTCTCAACTAAATAATCCGGACCATGTACAGAGTCATCAGTACCACTGCCGAAGAGAAAACCACCTCCATGGATGAAAACCATAACAGGAAGCGGCGGTAGGTCGGCTTTAGGCAAACTAGGAGTTGATACATTTAAATACAGGCAATCCTCATCGCCCACAACTTGAAATGATTCTCTATCAAGTTGGGCACAGATATTACAATCTTTTGTGCCATCTCTTACTCCTTCCCATGGTTCAGGTGGCTGTGGTGCCTGAAGAATAAATTTTAATAGCTTAAAAATAAAATTATTAAAGAAAAACACAAATAAAGTAAAAACTTTAACTAAAAAGTTCAGGAAATGTGAATATCCTAAATAACAAATTTAGAAATTTCACTTCTTTTGATCATTACACAAAGGCATCACTAAATTTCAATAATAATGAAGTGTTGATATAATTTATCCATAACCTATAAATTAATGATGCTTTAATGAAATACTGCCATATAATAAAACATGACTGATAGAAAAACATGCTTTAAATATAAATTTTCGAACTCTTAAAATAGCGTTTACTACTCTGATAAACCCAAAACCTTATTAGAACTTTAGGTAAGTAAGAAATATTGAGGTTAGGTTAGTCACTTTTGATTTATAATTATTGTACTTACTGCAAATCTCAAAACTCCTACTGGTGGTTTAGCATATGGAATACTCTTGAAAGTATAAAAATCTGTATTGTTTGAAGTTTTGCAATGTTTTCCAGATATTTTTCCCTCCACTACATCCACTACCGGGCTTTCCATTTCGATATTCTGAAATTACAATACGGAGATCGGAGATATATCGGAACAAATCGGAGATAATTTAATTCTATACACAAAAGTATTACTTTATGAAGTTATATAAATAATAATATAATAGATTGAACAACGGGCAACAAGTGCCTTACAAAAATGTTGAATGTTGATACTTGATAGTTGATGTTAAGTTTGACAACTTTGTGGATATGTCAAGTTTTCTGTCAATAAGAAAAAAACCATAGGTAAAACTTATTCTATACAGAAAATTTTATGTTATTGAAGCTATAGAGTAGGAAACAAAATATCTACAGTCGGAGCTTTAATAATTCTAGTCACCTCCTAAGATATGAGTTCAGTAAGAAGGAGGAGGGCGCAAATAACAAAACGCACTTGAGAATAAATACATCTCCAGACAAGAAGATTTGAATCAATGACAATTAATGTTGTGGGAATATTTCAATATTACATTGTAAAGAGATATTATTAAGATACCCAATTTAAAATGTTAATATTATATGGTACATATAAATAAAAAAATGTTTTTATTAGTTCTATGTCATATGTATAATATAACATCATATAACATCTTTGTGATGATTTTTCCTTCTTATTTCTCCTTGGTCAGAGTCATCAATATATATCAATTCGCCTTTTATTTTGTCTAGGGACCAAGTTTCCGTGGAGGTAAAAACTTTATAATGTCCTAGTTTCGTAGACTCGTATTTCTCTCACTTACGATTCGTATTTCTCAACTGGCTGACAATCCTGTAGCTTCTGCTACTAATTTATTACTATTAATATCATATTTATGTTCCATACTATTCCTGAATCTGAAAAAAACTGTGAACATTATAAACAATTTTTTCCCTTTGTGTTTTTAGGGGACCCATCACAAATCACCAAGCATAATCTATCCCAAATAGTTAAGTCACGTAGCCTTCGTGATAGTCAACGGCAGACAGAGTTATAACTTATAATTTATGTTGACATGTGTTTACTAGCCCTTAAAGATTCCTCCACATCTCAGGACTTCAAGAAATAATGATAAGCATTAGTGTGAAGCTCATAACATAATATGTAATATAATATCGAGTAACAAAAACAAATATTAATAATTAAAGTACAACTACACAGTACAGGGTCTAATGGCGCTTTGTTTATAATTTTACTCAAAATATGTCCCCTTACTTTTATAAACCAAAGAAGTGAAATATAAGTCTGCTCTTTTTCATTATTACGATTTTTAGGTTTGTTAACAATAACTTTCTGTTTATTGAAATTATTTATCTTATTTCCTTCAGGCACCACAGACAACTGAAACATGGGAGTTCGAGGCTTTACAAAATATTGTTACATTGTGTAAATCTAAAAAGAGTAGACTAATAGAAATGATTTATATTAATTAACTCGTGAAGGTCTTTGCTGTGGTTTTTATGTACCCGTCTCGTTGCTTACTTTATGCTAAGTGCCTACTTTTATGACTTTTCATACCAAGATAAATTCAATTTTTTTTAAAAAATCCTAATATTGATAAGTGTTATGGCCTTAACTTAACTTGGAAATATAACAAATAGGCATAATTTGGTGTGTAAAAGGATGTGTCAGATATGAACTACAAAATTTGGGTTAATAATTTACGACTAATACTAATAACTGATTAAATATAGTATTATTCGTGTTTTTTTTAAATTATAATGTTACATTTATTACTGATACACAACAACTATTCTTAATTAAGTTATAACAACAGTTTTTGAACTATTAGCAACTGACTAAAAAATACAAATATGTACCTACATATATTAAAAACGGTGACAAATTCCATTTTCGAAACGGAAATAAAAGTAGGTACACAAACAAACAAAAAGTCGATCATTGTGTACAAATATGGTTTTTAGTGAATTACGTAAGGTGGCAACCGGAGGTTCCAAGAAAATTACCAAACATACTTATATGTATATTAAAATAAGAATTACATGTTAAAACTTATAACATATACCTAAGATTACATGATTGCCCCGATGTTAGGATAGCAATAACATTCTATTGCTTGTATGGTGTAAGGAATCTTCTGGTTCACACGGCTTGGTGTTCGTTCCGCGGAGTCATGAACGTCACTCGTTGTATGACATTTTACGCATACAAAGATTTTGCCCCGGCGATATTCAATTATTTCTTAATATGTAGCTTGTACGTAAAAAGTGTACTATTAAGTATTGTTTTTTTTCTCTCTTTTATTTTTCAATGTTATCAAATATTTTGCTGAACATATAAATACATAATACATTAGAACAAACGAACGTTTTTTTTTATGATACATAGGCTGTTCGTGATATAAGTTAATATAAATTATCGGAAACGACTCGACTTATAAACTTAAAGCTGAATCCAAGAACACGCTTATCAAAAATCTTGATTAAATAATATCTATGATATTTAAGTATTTTATACAATTATGATTTATTAAATTTATTGTTGGCAATAATATCAACATTCAACATAGCAAATACTCACAAGAATAGTAAAAATATTTATCCTTCAGTAATTGTTTTAACATATAGGTAATATTACTCTATTCTGCACATTTCAGGATCACAAATTCTTTTTCGTTCAATTTCGATATTGATATTTGTATGTAATAATAAATCAATAAGTATAAAAATATAATACGACTAAAACAAAAGTTTGTTAAAATTATCCGTGTATTTAAATTGCAGAAACCTTTAAAAGTATATATCGTAAATATGTTTTGAATTTAACTTAGCAGGGAGATAAATATGAGTACAAAACGTTTATAAAAGATCAATTTCTTAATTATAAACCATTTTTTATATTAACTTTCTATAAGTAAATTACTTAGTTGTAAATATTATTATCAATAGTAATAAGTAACTTTCGTAAGTGCTATAATGCCTGATGATTTCTCTACGTGTCAAGTTTGCTTTCAATTAGAAAACTTATAAAGATTACAAACTCCTTATTAAAACACTAATTACTAATGTCGTTTCTATTAATTCTTGCGTCCCAACGATGTTATTATTTACTTATTTTTTGAAAACCCATTTCATTATACGTACCAAAAACTTCTAAGATTCGTTTTATTTTGCTAATATTTATAAATCTTTCGAAAATATAAATTTAAATCCCAATTTTTTTTGTCTGCTATTTAATTAATTAATTCTCGAGTGATTGTTTTATGTTTAATTAGAGCGGGTTTAAAATAATTCAAATCTCGGTATAGTTGAGATAGCCGGATGCGCACCTGTGTGCCGCTGTTCGTGAGAACCGAGATCTCTTCCACACAAAACAACCTTTTAATCACACACGAATAACCATTAAACGATTAACATACTTATTGATTTATAAATAAAGGTCATATTTATATGAATTAATAAATATCAATGAGTTACGTACGGCTGTATCAGGTGTTTTTCGGTATTTGTTTTGTTATTTTGTAGGCTTTGAACATCCGCGTAAGTCTATTATCGCAACTTTTTACGTCACTCTGTGACCATGATTTTTGTATAATATTAAAATTGGTATCAAGAATATGATGACAACTCTCATACTCATTTTTATTTTATTTTTATAAACTGTTGGTGCTACTTGAGTATATATTGCTACCGATATGTCTTTTCCTTTGTGTCATAGAAGGACATACACAATTTCATAATAGGATAAAGTAGACATAAAGCGATTATAAAGTGTAAATATTCATGGATCATGCAGTAAATTAATTAAAAATCTAAGTTTGTAGCTAAAATTCCATCCACAGATTAATAAAAAAAAAATCCACCAACAGATGTTACAGATAAAATAGAGGCTGATTTTCAATATTCAGCATTTTTTTTTATTCTAACTGTCCAGAAAGAAATATTTAAATTAAAGAAAACTGACAATTGTTTTTAAATAAAAACATTCCACTCTCTTTCGTTATTCGTACGATGTCCTGCAGGAAATATGAACTGCTCGTGGAAAACGTTATGTTGTAAAACATGTCGGTTTGTGGTTTGAGAAAACATATTAAATACATGTACGACTTACACATGTGACGGTAGATTTTATAAATCACCTTGGGAATGTTAAATTGCGAGGACATATTTCTATCTGATAATGAATATTTCGATACAATTAATTTCAAATCTGTCACATACATTCAATAGTGCAATCTGAGTTAGTAATACCTACCGGCTACCATACATTAAATTTTAGTTAGATTTCAACCTGATTCAATAAATCCGTTAAAATAAACACGTGCCATCTCTTAGTCAATTCCTTGGTCGATAGTAATTAACCTACGAGTAACTCATGAAGTTAAATCCTTTCGCATCCCGATATTGTATGTTTTTTTCTGGATACAATGATGCATTTCATAAACGTCAATCAAATGCTTTGATTTGACGTTTACGATAGATTCATACGAAGAAAGATCACAGATACAATAATCTTAATTAATAATTACAAAAAGATAATAATTATGTAATAGTAATTAAGATAATAATTAATAGTAATTAAGAGACTCCCCGTTATTTCAAAGCATGGAATCCCTACAATGAAACACGTGAGATGTTTGCAAAATTTGGATCCGCGGTCGTGTGAACCCGATTACAGAATGTCGAATGTTCTTTTTACCTTTTATATTAATAAAAAGAACTTTTTGGAGGTTTGGTATTGAGTCCTTTCATAGATTATACACGTCACCACGTGGGAAAAAGATGACATACAATTCTATACAAACTTTATGAAATTACCTACTCCCTTAAGTTATTATAAGTAGATATATTTTAGTCTTGCTAGATAACAGGGCAAGACGTTTTTGATACTACATAAAAAAACAATAATGAATATTGTATTTTTATGATATTTATTGAGTTTGTAGTTTATAGAATTTTTAATTTTGTAAATCTTCAATAACATAATATATTAGCATCTTCATAATATCTTAAGGCATATTTAGAAAAGTAATGACGAAGAAATACCTACCAAATTAGATACATCGTATATTTATGAAAATAAATTAAGATGAATGAAAAATTTACTATTGCCAGTTAAAAGTTTTTTTTAGATTCGTCATTTTGGACAAGCTAAGGGTTTAGACTGTTCTGCCTATTCATTAGTATTTTTTTTATTCATATTAATCAGGTCAATGTGTTTAGTATATAAATTAAGGATTTCTTTTGTATGCATTCACTTTATTCCTTTTTTTTTTAACTTGGGACTATCAATCTAATAATACACCATAGTTTTATCTCACTTGTCCGTGATGTTTACAATATTTACATGAGATATTAGCAATTTAAATGTCGCCAACAGTAAAACCAATGAATTTATACAAATATTTGTGTACAGAAATACTAATTAGTAATTCTTTTGTTTCGTTAAAACAATAAGTTTGAATAAACTCATTCATTAGCACAAGACGGTGAATGACGTAGGATGGTCACTTTATGAAAATGGGATTTAGAGTTTGAAGCCCCTTTACATCTCTATGATTACACAAAGCAGAATCAGACAATTATAAGCTATGCAGATTCATATGGCAACACCCAAAACGTAATCTGTAAAAAATTGTAAATATTCTTTGTTATAATTGTAATGACTTCTATTAAACAAAAATGTGCTATTTATTTACGTGTTAAGAGAGGCATCCCAATGAGATTTATTTAGGATCTCAGTGCTATGAAACTAGTGTAAAGTTGATTAAAAAAAATTCTTTCCGCTGTCTAAAAACATTGAAGTTATGATTTGGTTTATACTAAAATTAAAATACCTAATTCCCTCTGATTTCTTATATTTTCTGTTCTCTGTCAATTTAAAATTATAATAATAGGTACTTAATTGAAAAACGGCGATAGTGATCGATCTTAGAGGAAACAGTAAATTGCTGTCATATTTGCCGCTCTAAAATGTAAATGTTTGAACAAAGAAAATACTTTCTAGTTTCTAGTCAGAACATCTGTAACAATGGCTGTTATGTTATAGTATAGTTCAGTTCTAACCTAGATAAAGGTCTGAACGTGAGGTAAGGTCATTGCTTGTGTGTGTAAACGCTCTGCGCAGGTGTGTTCGAGACTGGACGGCGCCGGCGCAGAGAACATTCCTTCGATGGTCACGGCGCTCGCGTACTTGATGACTACTAACATAGTCATCAAACATTAAATGCTTTACTAAAATAGTATTATTCATACAAGTTATGACACAATACATGAACAATCTATTCTTCAACTATAGACAGGAGTAAAAAAGGGCTAAATTTTGAAGCATTCAGTAAAAAAATTTAATATAAATATTGTAGCGACATCTGTGTCAACTTCGAAATACTTATTCAATAGATTCAAACCAAAATTATTATTGCTATTAGGTAATAGATGTCGCTTCTTTTGTAACATAAAACTTTTAGAACCAAACTTAAATGTATTTTTCAAAAATTATTTAAAATAATTAAACTTATTATTTGTAGTAACTTTTAAATTTTTTTAAAATTCTATGTAGTTATTTTAATTTTTTCTTAAATGGTAACTCAATGAACGCATGGAACATAGAGTTCGTTCAAGTCGCCGGGAATCGTACCGATTGCGAATATTCTAGATTCAAGATTGATAAAACTGTCTGACAAAACTGCGCTCATTTGTCTTTAATAGTATCGTGCAAAAGTATCGGTACAGTTGGTATTATTCTAAGTCATGGCTAACGTTGCAAAGAAATTGATTCCTCTGCTCGATAGAGTTCTTATCAAGAGAGCAGAAGCAGTCACAAAAACTGCTGGAGGCATTGTAATCCCCGAGAAAGCTCAATCCAAAGTTCTTCATGGAGAAGTCGTCGCTGTAGGACCCGGCTCACGAAAGGAAAATGGAGAATTCATCCCAGTCCTTGTGAGCGTGGGTGATAAAGTGCTTCTTCCAGAATACGGCGGCACCAAAGTGAGTCTCGAAAATGACGAAAAAGAATACCACCTCTTCAGAGAATCTGATATCTTGGCAAAGATAGAAAATTAATCTTAATTTTAGTATTAGTTTGCGCGGTTTCGAATTTTGGTTAGATATATAGAAGAACATTGTAGTGTATGTGATTGTGTAATATGTTCAATTCTGTGGGACATACTGTTATCTGATTTGCATTTATTATAACATTGTTATTAAGCATGTTGTATTATTTTCCCCATTCGTGCTAAATGTTATATCGAAAATGATTTGTACATGAGTTTAACATTGTATAGGTTAGGTATTGAGGTTATACAAACTACGGGAAGAAATGAAATTCAAATATAAGTATTAAAACAATCCTTGTATTCCTTTATTTACTGTGGCTGATGTATGTACATATTAAAATATTTTAATCACAATCATTTGGATGTGATATTGAATACAATGAAAAAGCACCATAAAGCTAAAAATATGTTGATAATCGCAAATAACATATATGGCAATTCTGTTCAATGTAAATTTTTAATACTGATAATAATGTAGGCTTACAAAAAAATACTTAACACACCTGCCTTACTACATGATAAAAAAATATGTAATAATTAGAAAAATGGAATTCTTGTAACATAGTTGTTAATATTCTAGACTGTTCTATCCTTTAGTTACATAAACAACTGTTTATTATACATTATTGTTACATTGCCAATAATTAAAGCCAAAATCATCATTTCTTAATCACTTAAAATATTATAGCATGATTAATTTTGTTAATTATTTGCTTGAACCTAATAAACTTAAATAATAAAGGTACGTAATAATGGCATATAGAGTTGTAAATTCAATTAATTATTGCAACGATATGGCCGTGCGTCTAACAGCTGCTGATAAAGCTGGATTTGGGTCAGGTGGTTCAGTGAGAAGCTGAACTGTTTTCCAGCAGCCATCTTCATCAGATTGTCGTAATGCTTCCATGGTCGCCTGAACTCTTTGCCCATCTTCAAACGTAGCTGCGGTCCTCACTGGCTCTTTAATCCAATCCATTTGTTCCTTTACAGGGAGAAATGCTTCTTTCAGCGCGCTTATCATTTTACAAAGACCTTTAATATATGGTTTTGGGATAACACTTGACGCACAACTCAAGTCTTCGATATCTACATAAATTACCTCTTCCTTATCATGAGGTCTTTTTCCTTCATCTTCTATAGCACTTTTTGAGTTACTTTTATATAAGCGGCCATGTAAATCACCTCCTCGAACTACTAAATAACCTTTTTTACTGCAAACATAAATTTCTTGATTAAAACAAGGTCCTGGCAAGTGATTATTCAATGTCGCTGTGACCAATAAGCCTTTATCCATTTGTAATTGGAATGTACAGAAATCAGGAGCTGTGATTCTTCTTATACCATTAACTTTTGTTGTCTCGTCCACAAATGTTCGTAAAACTCCATGTACTTTAACAACTTTCTGCCCGCTGAGATACGAAACTAAATCTATCACATGGCTTCCTACTAAAGTGAGTGTACCTCCACCCATTGTGTCATCACATAGCCAATTATATGTTTCTCCTAGAAGAGATCCCATTTGTACTCTCACATCAATAAGTGTCAAATCTCCTGGATTGCCTAAATAACCATCTATAATACATTTTCTCATATGGCTAAATGCTGGTAAGAATCTTAGGGAATGATTGATAATGGATATTAGTGTAGGATAATACTGAGCTGCTCGCACCATTTTCAGGGCTTCCGCCTGACAAAGACCGGCGGGTTTATCACACACGACATGTTTACCTATTCCCAATGCTTTCATTGATATTTGCGCATGTAAATTCGGAGCGCAAACAATGAATACCAGGCTCACATTTTTTTTTAATAAAACGTCGTCTATTTTATTCGTGTAGAAAGGTATTTTCAACTCTTTCGCAGCATTTTCAGCGTCTTGAACCGTCACACCCCATATAGCTTCGACTGGAAATCCCTTCTCCCTGAGGAAAGGCACCAAAACTTTAGCTACAGAACCAGTTCCGAATACACCGATACCAGGAAGCATGTCGAAAGTTTTTGTAGTTTTGTTACCCAATTCTTAACATATTACATATGGTAATAAATAATAATGGTACTTAAAATATAAAATCCATAAGACAAAACTCGCAGGTTGAATTATTGTTGATTTGTCACTTTGACAAATCGACTCAAACTATGTCTTAAAAAAATTGTAATGTCACTTTGACATTTGACTAATTACATATTTTTTAATAAATGCGTAAATTAATTACAAATAATTGAGTTATCGCTTCCGGATATTAGTAAAATTTTAATTCTTATATGTTCTCACGCTTTAAACCTTTGTTTATTAAAGATAGTGTATACCGTCTTCTATCGTCAAATGGATGGCTAATATAAATTATTCTTTAAAATCGATTTTTTTAATAAAGATATTGGTAGGTACTTATTTGAAGCAATTATTTGCTATTATAATTTCTAATTTGCTATTATAATTATAAGAAATTGTTTGTTAACCAGTGGTGGCCTAGTGAACCAGTGATGGCCTAGTGGTTAAAGACCCGCCTCTCATGCATGAGGGCGCGGGTTCGATCCTGGCAAGTACCAATTTGATTTTTCCGAGTCATATGTACTTTCTGAGAGTATTTAGACACCACTGACAGACGGTGAAGCAAAACATCGTGAGGAAACCTAGACTTATAATTTCATAATTGTAAGTTTGCAATCACCAACCCGCCTTGAACAAGCGTGGTGATTAATGCATTACCAAAGAAGTTGATGTCAGGCAGGCGGTCGGTCGTAAAAAACAATTAGCCAAAACTATTTACAACATTTAAGGCAGACCATGGCTAAAGCTGGGAAATTGCGAGGAAAAAGAAGAAGATTTGAAGAAATTATTTACTAAAAATGATTTTGGGAACACACATAGTAAAATAACTCTAAATTCTTAGTAGTAATTTATCCTCATAGCTTTTTCTCTTTTCGCAGTAGAAATTGAGAAAGTGTTCAACAGATTGATTGCGATTTATGAGCTACTTCCCAAGTTCCACTTCATCTAAAACAGTATATTAGCCTTACCAGCAATTAGATATATATTGTTATTTATTTAACTAACTGATTAACAAATTTTGAAAGCGTAAATAAAACAAATCTTATAATACCTAAGTTTTAACAAATTATAAAAAACTGTATTTAAAATTAGATGTTATTGAAATAAACTTATAACCATTTCAGATTAATCAACTAGTATCCAAATCGTTTCATGAATTAAAAATCAACTCTTGTAGTTATTATTTTGTTCATACTCAATATATATTTTTTCTCAGTTTTATGATAATTCACTTTGTCAGCCCACGACGTCTGTACAGCATAATTAGTTTTTTACTTTGGCTAAGTTAATCCTTATTACGGTATCTTTAAAATCGATCCAACCATTTAAGGGAAGGGTAGCCAAAACAAACAGTCATATAGATAGAAAAAAGGGTGTAGAAAAATCACTATTGGACTATGTACGAGTATGACACCTTACAATTATTCTAAAATTCGCTTATTGTGGCAAAATGGACACTCCAAATTTTATTTATATTATACCTATACATAGAATTTCCTAAATTACTTTAGGAATTTCTCCTAAGATTTAGTAAAGAAAGGTTTTTGCGTTAAGCTAGCAATAGATAGAGATTTTATTTACCAGATATATGTTGATTTTGTTCCTATTAAGTAGTTATAATAGGATATGTAAGTGGAACAATGAATAATATTTATTAAGAAAACACGGCAGCCTCGTAAGTCACACGACTCACGAGCGATGGCGCTTAAAACGAATCACTTCGGTTCAAATGCTTTGATACCAACCACCTGGAACTGTTAGGGTTGTCGATTACCGAAATCTCAATGTAAGTAGTTATAAATTTAAATTATTGTTAACTTACAAGGTTTCTATGAATAATGTTTTAATTTTGTTGTAATGAATTTCTGAAATTAAATTCACCTCGTTTTCAATACCTCCTTCCTGAAGTTATTATTATATCTTCTACCTTTCTTACGGATCTAGAAGACAAGGTGTTAATTACGTAAGTGGTAACATTTTTGTAAACAGATCACTCAATTATTATTGGTATATTATAAACAAAATGAAAGTAGAGATTAATAATACGCATCTCTTATCGTAAGTGGCAACCCTGGTGTCATCCTATTTGAAGCTTATATCTCGTTAGGATCCACGATACGTAGGTACAGAGCACCTCCATAATAAGAAATGGATTATATTACACCGTAATGTAATACAGTCTAAAATAAAGTTTTAACATTTCATTCAGAACGCTTCAAATTAATTTTAACTCTTAAAAATATAATTCAGCATATAAAACCTCTTTGGTCCACGTTTAATTTATGATAATTATCTGTGTGAATAAATTTTAAGCATTTCTTTTTTTTTCTTCGTTTATCAGTCGCGAGTGTGTAGCACGTGTTGTTGTCACAGAGTATAAAGTGTCGGAAGTTGGACCCTTAGCTTAGATGTCAATCTTTCCATCAATGACGTCTTATGCTAATTGTTTTACTTGATTTTATTCTATTACGATCAGTATCACAATTGGGATAAATAATAAAATATATGGAGATGTAATTTAATAAGAATATTATTAACTTTAATGCGTAAAACGAAATAAGCACATACATTTCATGTAAGATTCAGAATTTGTATCCATAAACGATAATTACACCGAAATAATTTATGTAAACACAAAATACGTATAAAAACAGTGTTCTTTCGTTTCATTTGTCGAGTTATAATCCTGAAATCGTTTCGGGTGTGGTTTTGTAAAGCGCCGCCCAGATAGTCGCCCGCCCTGCGCATACGCAGCCTTTATTCAAATAGCAAACGCCACGCGACCCGGCCACTACACCCTGGTAGTTGTTAGTGATGTTACTGTGATTGTGATCATGCCTAGGAAACGATTAAATAAATCGAATATCGATAAAAGATTGGAAGACGGTGATGATGATGCCTTCCTTTTCGATGATTCTCTGTCCAGCTCCGGTAGGATTCAAAATGTTTTATTTTATTTCATTTCTGTTGTTCATATGTGTTTTAGAACAGTAGTTATATTTATTAAGTAATTGAAATGAATATCTTCTTCCAAAAATGTGTTAATCGGATAATCATTCTTTAATCTACCTTATTAGTTTTTTATTCGTCAATTTTTATTAATAACTAGCTTTCCGCCCGCAGCTTCGCCGCGTGGAGTTCGGTTATATCGCGTTTCCAAGAGAACCTTTCAAAAGTCTGGGATAAAAACTATCCTATGTTCTTTCTCAAGGTCAACTCTATCTCTGTACCGAATTTCATTAAAATCAGTTCAGAGGTTTAGGCGTGAAAGCGTAGCAGTCAGACAGACAGACAGACAGACAGACAGACAGACAGAGTTACTTTCGCATTTATAATATTAGTAGGGATTTCGTTACATGTATCTCAGTTTCATACAGGATTTAGAATAGAATATATCTCGCTTTTGACAATTGCTTTAATGATTTTCGAGCATATATCTTTTATATAAAATTCTCGTGTCACTTACATGTATAAAATATTCGTTCCCGTACTCCTCCGAAACGGCTTGCCCGATTCTCATGAAAATTTGCGAGAATGTTGAGTAGATCTGAGAATCGGCCAACATCTATTTTTCATACCCCTAAGCGAAAGGTGTTGTCACCCCAAAGTTTTTTAATTTTGTTGAAAGGTTTTGTTTTTTTTTATCATGTGGCATGAGAAAATACATACAACCCTAAATTTTTACTTTTTTATCACCAACCCCTACTTTTGATAGGGCAAAACAACGATTGCCGACTCAGCTAGTTAATATATAGAAAATCTATTCAAATATTTACTTATACCATACACTTACTACTCGGTTATTTCCTTTTAATCGTTGTTTTATATAAAAAAATAAATATATTAATTAAATATTAGGTAGAAGCGGTCATGAGCCTCAACATAGAAACGCAGCGAACGCGCGCGAAAGAGCCCGTATGAGAGTACTGTCGAAGGCTTTTTGCAGGTGAGATATGATAAAATACAAAAATACAATCTGTTTAAATATTTATAAGTCAACTAACATTTAGTTAAACTTAATATTCTTTTTATAACATCGTGAATAATCCATAGATGAGGTGTTTTTTAAAACAGACGAAATCAAAAGTAAGGTACCTTTTAATTATGTGGAATAATTAACATGTGTCCTTTTTGTGTCTCCAAGTTGTAACAACTTAAAGTATTTCAATTTTACTATTTTCTAACAAAGTTTCCTATAGATTTTAATTCACAGAGCTATCTACAATCGTTATAATGTCGTTTCGCTTTTCCGACCCCAATGAGAATTTGGTCTATAAGCATTTCAGTCATAGCCCTAATTTAATTTCAGTGAATTTTTTTGTAGTAATGCTAATAATATGTCAAGAAACTATCTTTTTTGTCGTTCCTACTGTGTTTGCGAGTATTCAAGAGATATGTACTTGAAAGTTTATTATATTCGTAGGTTAAAGACTACTTTACCCTGGGTACCAGCTGATACTAAGCTCTCCAAACTGGACACTCTTCGTTTGGCTGCATCATACATCGCACATCTTCGAGCTCTGCTGCATGAGCCGAGATCAGCTCACACGCCGCCTCATCCACTCAATCTGGTAAGAATTTTCAGATACTTAATATTTTTTTGGCACTCCAACTTGACAAAACTTTCAAAATACAACAGTTTTAATTGATATTATTTTCTTTTTTCTCTTATTTATTGCTTCTTATTGGGACTTATGGTTATAAAATCATTACAATTATTAGATATCTGTTAGTTTAAAAACTATCCCTAAAAAGTTTGAAGTTTGTAAGTATATTTTAATTATTTTGAGGTCATATATTTTACATCTAACTATTTTACAGTTATCCATACAAGTTCGGGATTTTAATGTCTAATAGTCATATATTTAAGATAACGTAAGTTAAAACTCCTAACTATTAGGACAATAAACGTATTGAATATCGAAAGAATAGATCTTTTACCATTAAATATTCCGGTTAGTAAAATGCGTATAAAGTTTAGAGTTGTTTTTATTGTTGATATGTATCGGTATTTTATGTCTACCGATATCATTCGATTTTATTAATATTAATCTGAAAGATTCTTTATACCTAGAGTCCAAAAAAAACCGCAACAATACTTTATAAACATAGAAACATAAAATTTTACTTGGAAAATGATATAATACTCCTTCAATAAATTGGTTAATACAGATTAAGAAACTTTTAGGTGTATATAGTAATGCAAAAATATCGCTATCGCTGTTAATACGGATATCATTTAATTTAAAATCGATTTTATATCGATTTTATTATTCTTTAAAATTAATAAAATGATTTTTCAATAATTGTTAATGATATACCTAGTCTTTATAGAAATATTACAAATATGGTTATAGCCGTCTATTGATTGTACGGGTTAAGGGCTTATTCATAAAAAAACTGACAATTATGAATATATACTTAGTATGGGAGAAAATCGATATTTAGTACTTCAAATATTTAATATTCAACGGCGCTCTCGATTTATAATTATATACTAAAAAAAATACACTTTACATTGCTAATAATGACCTACTTTAGATCTTGTTTAATTGACTAACGGCGTTTGTTTTTTTTTTTATACTGTTTTAAATTAAGTTAAGCTATTAATATAATCAATAGAAAAATTCAAAAACTTATCAAGGCCAGTTTTGATAAATCAAATTCAACCAGCGAAAAAAATGCTATAATTAATAATACAAATACTTTTTAGGAAAAATTTTATCATCTAGTAACAATACTTTATAAATAAGTGCTTAGTGTTGGAAACATAACAAAAAAAAGAATAAAATTCTTTCGTTGGCCGATTTTTTTTTTAATTTTGGTACCAATATGGATTATGGTGCAGTTATTCGAAAAAGTATAGTTGATAAATATTAGAATAATTATATTATACATTGATTTTAATTTAATACGGTCGAAACAGAAATGGTATTTGGTGTTTGCATGTAGCGAGATTTTTGCTTCAAGAAAACCATCATAGTCCGTATTCCGTAAGGATGTTTATTTCGAAACAGACCATTAAGAGTGCAATCCCTAGAACCAACTTTGCACGCACCTTTAAAAAAATTATAAATGATAAAAACAATACTAAATTGATCATAAATATTAATTCAATTTATTAATAAAACGGATTTTAAACAAATTTCCTGTAACTTTCTAACTTAGGTAATTTCTTTCCAAAAATTGGTTTGTTACATACATTCACAGTTTTTTATTGATCAGTTTTATATTATTTTGTTTCTATAAAAAAAGAGTAATGTTTTATAATAACCTTTATTTTATTAGGAAGAACGAATATTCTTATTTTGAATAAATTATTTTCAAGTAAATATTAATAATGTTTGTATGAAAAGTTAAGTTTTATGTGAGATAACCATTATCATATAAATTTAATAATCATAATATTAGAAATAGGACTTTTTGTCTTTTATATTCTGTATTAAATTAGAGTCACAAACAAACATCGATGTATCAATATTATACATCTTTTTTTATATATAATTGATTATTTTATTTCTTATTGTGTAGCAAATTTTAAATAACACAATCATACGATTCCATTTATTTCTTAGTTGATTTAAAAACTCGTTAATTAAATGAAATAATTAATAGAAAACGATTAAATATTTTTTTACTTCTTTCTCAATAGACTATAAAATTTAAACAAAAAAGTTCATAAAAACGCCATGTTGTCACATTATAATTGTTGACAATTTATTTTCTGTCACAAGTGTCATCTTGTTAATTCATCCGTGACACTAGCGTCTTAAGGTCTTTACTCGGTGAAATATTTCAGAACTTTTGGGTATTTTCGAACATATACTTTGAAAAATACATAAATTTGATTGAAATGTTAAATTGACTATATCTTGTAATGTCTGAAAAATAAAAAAAATGCTAGAATGTTCTATAAAACGAGTTTGAAAGTCGTTGTTATTAAAGCGTATAATAATAGTATTGGTATTTGAATATAATATTTTGCGTGTATAAATCAATGACTAATGTATTAGTCGAGCACTAAACGCCACCGCATCCCTGTCAACGGAGGATTAGCGTTCCGAGAAGGTCGGTGACAAATGAATGATTAGGTGACAAAATTAAAAACTAAGGCTGTCGTAAATTTAACGGAGATATAAAACTAAGATTTGTACACCAAAATACTCAATAATTATGAAAAAATTTACTCGTATATCGATTAAAATTTGTAATATTTTCGTTGTGATTTTTTTTAATAAAGATATTTTTTTATTTGTCACCGTGTGGGTTCCGGATGTCCTTAAAAACATCTTCGTGTTTGAAGCGCGAGGTTAAGCCTTTAAAAAGTCAAATAAACAGTTGGAATGAGGATAGAAACAAAATTACAACAATAAACAATTTAACGTCGGGCGCGCGCTGACCAAAAGTTTGCAGCTGTTACTGGTATAAATAAAATTTATCTCCGGACGTTAAGAGATTCCGTTTTATTGTTTCTTCGTTGTTTTCACTCATGTCTAATTGTCGTGAAGTTTTCAGATTCAATGACATTTTAAACAGAGCTTTTTAAGATTTTATGACTTTTGTCCTTGTTCGTGCTTTTTCGACGTAGTTGTTGAGTTTAATATGTTCTATATTTTGGTAAATTAATTTTAATTTAATAAATATATGTACATATATGTATAATACATATAGGTATAGAGTATACTGTATGCTGTTAATTGCTTACAATATGGCATCTAAGAATACACATATTTTGTGCGTCGCAAGAAAAATAGAAATTTTTCGTTATAAGAATTAAATAGAATACTTTATTAGGAGAAGTTCAGATTAAAATTTTAGATTTTCTATTTATCAACGTTAGTTATTAATTACATAGAAACGCAGAGATTTTAAGAGAAAACAATGAATTCTCCACTTAAGAAAAATTTCGTTTCATTAAAATGAAATAGTAATAATTCATGTCACACCATATATTTAGGTCTTTAATTTACAACAAAATGGATTATGGTGCAGTTTTTACAGTAGTACATAGTGTTTTGAAATTTAATATAAAAGAGTAATGTTTACCAGATTCCTATTCTTTTACACATTCGAAAAACCTGGGATCTAGAACTTTCTCTTGTCTTTCCTTTATTTAATTTCTAGTATTTATTTCTCATATTCCAATAAGTTACAATATATATGTAAGTATTCATACAAAATATCGATAATTATAAAAAAATATATGAAAAAACCTCACATACAATAATCTTGTATGTTCAAAACTAATTTTGAAAAACTTTTAAGTGATTGAGTAACATATCTAGTATTATTATGAAGTCCTACTTATTTCAAATAGAATGAATTTTTGAACGTCATTAGTTGCAACTTGCAAGGAGTCTTATTAGTACATGGAAGGACAAGACGTAATGAAATGTGTTACTACGAACGTTTGTAGGCTCGGGCTAGCAAGCTGACTCTGGTTTACGAAATAAATAATATTAAATATATGGATAATTGTTTTTATTTATATCGTGTCATCAGCCTATCAGAAGCCCACTGCTGAGCAAGGCCTCTTTCTCACATGGAGAAGGTTTGAGCATTAATCACCACGCTTGCTCAAGACGGGTTGGTGATTTCAAACTTATAATTGTGAAACTATAAGTCCAGGTTTCCTCACGATGTTTTCCTTCACCGTATGTCAGTGGTGTCTAAATACTCTCTGAAAGTACATATGACTTTTATTATATACATATGACTTTTATTATTGCCAGGTTTGAACCCGCGCCCTCGGCAACGTGAGGCGGGCCCCTTAACCACTAGGCCACCACTGACTATTTTATTTATATACATCTGTTAATTTTAGATAGAATTCAAATTACTTCAACTTTACATAAATGATTTACTTTAATTTGAAGGTGCAGATTTTATATATTTGAAAGTGAAATGCTATTCATCATTAAGTATATGTATTAAGTTTGCAGTTCAGCTTTGATCCGATACAGACCCATTTTATTTCGTTGTTTTGTCTAAAAAAAAAATGTTTAATGTAAAAATTAAACAATGTTTATATGTAGGTATATCTAATTTAAGGAAAACTTCATTAACACAATGCACATGAATTATAATTTTGAATGGGGATAAATGTCGTTTTAGGGCGCAGGTCAAAATATGTTTATTGTTGTTTATTTGGGTTGGCCATAGACAAGCCTAAAACAACTGTTGATTTCAGTGCGAATGAAGCCATAGCTTAATAAAAAAAACAACTGTTGATGTTTTATATCATGTAACTTTTTGGGTGGTCCATGATACTATGGTAGTTTATTTTGGCACCGTATCTATTGTTTCTAATTATTATGTAAGACATTATATGCATAAAAGATTTCGTTCACTTACTTGGCTTACTCATATAACACGTATTTCAAGTATTTTTGTTATAAAAAAATATATAATAGTTTTGAGCAAGTGTTCTAAATATATCTTTCGCACTATTACAATCAAAATGGCGGCTTGTCAGTTTAGACTTAAATTTTTTGAAATAATTTACATATGTATTGAATACAGAAATTTATACTTTTGTAAACGTTAAAATTTATTGTACTCTCATTGGTTTGAATTGATTGAAATAAGTAACAGTTAGCAGTTCTGATGATTATTCGATAGTTATTTTAATTTGCCTGAATTTTTAACAATTTTTTTATTTTTACTTCTTTTCTCTATCTTCTCATTTCTTTATTTTCTATGACTGTATACTATTTTATATCATTATCTTGAGTTCCATAACTACTCTTATAAATGACATTTTCGTATTGTTTACAGGCATGGCCATTCGCATTCCAACATGGAGGCAGTTTAAGTTGTACGATCTCTCAAAGATGGAGTGTTAACACACAAAACTGCGACTCAACTGCCGAAGAAAGAAATCAAATCCAAAGAGAAATACATAATAACGGTAGATGCAACGAAAATTATAACCAAGATTATTCAGAAAATGATTATGAAGAAAGAAATTACGAAGAAATGACGAACGACGTCCCTTGTAATAACGTGCAATATTGTGAATACGGCTACAAAGATAATTATTATGAGATGAGAAACTCTTATTCGTCAAACGGATTAATGAATGTGTGATATTATTTATTTGCAATATATTTTTTACTACAATAAAACTATGTACTGTCTGATTGTATTATATTTTTTTTATGACGTAAAAAAGGGATGTTTTAAGTTTAATGTTGATCACTGTGTAAATATGTGTCTATCAGTCTGCCATTGCAGCTCAGAAACAGATGGATCAATTTGATTCGTTTTTTTCCATAAAACCCTTTTTCCTAAATTATATTTAACATTTTTGAGCCCGTGATACTGTAACCATTAAAAAAAAATTGTAATGTATAGATTTTTTTAATACTCATAAATTTTTTGTTATTAAAACTGCGGTAATTAAAATTCCTTATTTTAACCAAATATTTCATTTTTTTTCTTAGCGGAATATTATTGTTACCCAACGGTTATTTGATACTGAATTACTTTCTGTCTAAACTGCCGTCAGCGTCGACGTTTGATCTGAGTGGCATAAGTGGTAACATTATACCTTAACACTCTCTTTCTCCGGAACCTGACAAAACAACAATTTTATGCAAAAAAATACTTTTTGAAATTTCATTTCCTTTCTATCTGTTTTAAAATTTATTTAATCATGTTTATTAAAATGACATATGCTTAAAAACATAAATATATCTCGCGAAACATAATACTAAAATTTGTTACAATAACATAACAAAAAATACCTGAAAGAAACATAAATAAGGAGTAAAATAAATAATGGGGTAAGTAATAAAAATAATGAAAACCATCAGTTTAGTTTAATTTTATTACAAGATAAAATTAAGAGAGGACAGAGCACAGCAAAATTTAAACAAAAAAGTACATGATAAATGATAAACATTTTACTTTTTTTGTATGTTCTTGTTATGGGACTAGTGTGACAAGTGGTACTAACCGTGATTTAGTCATTATTATATACTATAATCATTAGAATTCTTTTATGTCTGATTACAATACTGAACTTTAATATTTAAGTATTATTTTGTATTTGAAAACTGTAAATACTGGCTTCAGAAATTTTGTAAGTCATTACTGGAAGTAACGCTGAACATTACAGATCAGGACTGTGACAGCTGTACCTACCTCAAAAACTAAGCTAGCTAACTAAGCGTACGCTTAAAACTATTCGTGATTAAATAGTCAGTGAAACTGTTCTTATTAGCGAGTCGTTGTCGGTAGAACAGATTTCTTTAACTCCACACATGTTTATTTTTCATGTTGTATTGTACGCTTTACACTACAACAAAGCAGCAGCACATGATCTTTGTTTAATAATTCAAATCAATTGATTTATAATCGTTATCGTTTTATCTTCGTACTGTTAATTTCACACATCATTATTATATTCAGTATCCTGAAAGAATTGACCCCATTTACTGTAGCTCCGACGTTCCAGGACACTCCCCTTAAGATCAACCAGAGTATTCTAATCCTTGGGGTTGACATAGCGAACGACGTTCAATTCCGGAGACATTTGGAGGATAAGCTAAGCTAGCTTCTAAAAACCTAGGGGTACTAAGTAGAGCGAGGCAGTAGTTCACACCGGGACGCTTGTTTTTATTATATAAAGAACAGGTTCGTCCCCACATGGAGTATTGTTCTCACCTCTGGTCCGGTGCCCCACAGTACCATACTCTTCAACATGACTCCATACAATGTCAGTCAGTTCGTATTGTCAACGATCCCATGCTCACAGACGATCCAGAACCCCTAAGCCTCCGAAGGGTGTGAGCTCCCTCTGTACAATAGGGAATGTTCCGAGGAACTGTTTGATATAGTGCCTTCGTCACCATTCCACCATCGCACTACGCGCCGTAGGGTTGGATTTCATCCACATCATCTAGATGCATTAACCTTAAGGACTGTGCGTGCATCGCGGTCATTTTTTCCACGCACGTGCAGGATGTGAAATGATCTTCCACCCGAGATTTTTCCAGAGAGCTACAATATAAGGTCTTTCAAATAACAAGGGTTCAGGTGGCTTCTTCACAAACAAGGCCGGCAACGCATCTACAACATCCCTTATATTGCAAATGTCTAATATGGGCGACGGTGACTACCTTCCATCAGGAAGACCGTCTCCCTGTTTGCTCCTTTGGGTAAAATAAATAAAAAGAATTCATCATAAGAATACACCACGGAAAAGATTTTAGGTTGTTCTTACTTCTAACGCACGAGCTATATATGTAATATGAAATGCTATCCTTAAGTTGGTACTGAGAACTATAGGCGTTAAAGGTTAAAATAGACCTTTCAGTACCAAAAAAAGCTTTGGTTAAAATGTTCTCATACTTTTGGTTAATTCATTCTTGTATGGATGTTGGTTAATATGTATACATTATAAATAAAACAAAATACATAGCCTGTGAAAAGTTTAATTGATCTTATTAAATTACAATTACATATACGTATTATGCCAGAGCACACTAAATAGTTAAAAATATTTACAACAAAAATGTAACTTAAGCGAGGCAATGTTTTGGTAAAATTGTTTCAATACTCTACAGCACTAACTTAAGGGACAGGAAAACACTAAATAAATGTTTAACTCAGGGGCTTCTTATAACATAAATATGATTTTAAAAAATAATACAGATTATATAGTTTCTTATATTCATCAGTGTAGATAAAAAAAATGCGATTTCAAATAAATTGCATTCAAATATTCATGGCTTCTCTTTTCATACAATGTTGCCATATAGAAAATTTTAAATTAACAATATTCGCAAATTCGAAAGAAATAGAAGAATCTTATTCATTCCACGTCACTTACGCAATATTGTACATCTTTGCAATTTTTTGGCAGTAAATTATATAAGGTAAAAAATTCATGATTTTTTGTTAATTTATTCGTGAACAGTACATCTCAAACATTAATTTCTTGAAGTGTTTCAATTATTTACTTTCATACGTCTTGTAACATATGCATAACATAACAGAATGAGTAAGATACAAGTATTTAACATTTAAAAAAAATGTTAAGGAAATAAAATGTTACATATAACTTTGTTTTGTTAATATTGGTAATACCATGAGATAATGTGGTAATACAATTTTGCATCGTCAGTATGAACAACACCTATAATAATTAGTGCATTGTCAAACTAAATTGTATGTATTTAGCTTTACATTCACGAATCTGAGAACTGTTTAAATTAAGTTTGACGACACATAAATTGGTATTCTCACTCTATTTTAATCATTTCCAGTATGGTTTTTTTTTTCCAATAACTAAGATTTATAAACCAAAAACTGCTTATTTCAGTATGAAGAATGACACTGCAAATTTGGATTACATTTGAAATTACAATTGGATTATTTTACCAACTCCAATATTTGATGAAAATTCGTTCCGATATAAAATACATATAAGATAAGAATTAAAGAAAATTACACATAATTTCACTACAGATACAAGCTAAATATTAAGCTAATAACGAATATTGAACTATTTTGACACTAACGTAATTCATAATTATTGCTAAGCAAAACTTCCCAATACTAAGTATACTAACAAAATTATAAGTTTAGCTAAATTCACTAAATATAACAGCTACATAGCAAATCAATGTGTTATTACATTATATTGATAAACAAATATTTGCCTAATTTCATGATTCTCATGATTAAGATCGCGACCTAAGTTTACCGCAGTCAAACTGCTTTATATTTTTGGTATAAACAAAATTTGACACTATTGTTTTTTTTTTTAATTTAAAGCCAAAATTCCAGAGTATTCACGCCTAAGTGTATTATATTATTGCGTCACTATAACTAATTAAGTTGAGACGGCTATCCCATACTTTCCGATACAAACCGTGGTTCATTTTATTACTACTGATATAAGCCACACGCTATATAATTAACTACAAAACAATCTGTTTCCATTGTTATAGATATCTGATAATCTTTGAGTTCATCCGTCAGGCAATTTGACGTCACACGGACAATTGCAAGTTTTTTTTAATTAAACATTTTGGATTCTAAGTATGTGGTCATTATACTATTACTAGATCAATTATATCGATGAACTAGAAAACTGTTACTCTTTTCGTTAACTACAACTCACAATACGTGCCATAAAATACTTTTAAGACAATATAATTAAAATTCCTTTATACCTTCAGACTACTTGATAATGTTCATAGATTGTGTACAAATTCCATTAGAATATCTTAAACAAAAATATACTTTAAATCATAGATATTAAAGATAGCTCCTGTTTGTATTAACATAATTAACATTTTTGCGGTCGTTTTATAATGTGTTTCTTAATTTAAAAAAAAACCCTGGGAATTTGAATAGTATTAAAAATAAATAAATTTTGCATTCCAAGTTCACTGAGGTAAGATGAGGTGTAGAAAAATCAATCCGCGTATAGTTGCATATATGTACCAATTTGAAGTACACGAATTGCATACGTGTACAAAAGTAGCAGAAATTTTGCATCACAATGTACATTTGTAGCGAGACGAGTGTATAATGATTTCGGTATTAATTTTTCTTAACTTTTATAATTCTTGATTCTGTTGAAGTCAAAATCAATTTTTGAAACTTTACTTCATATATTTAGGGTTTCGAATACATTGAATATTTAAAAACAATTACAACCTCGAAATATATTAAAATGTATAAAAAACTGAATCATCTTATGTATTCCCAGTATTTTCATAATTCCAGATCAATACACAGGAGCAATCTCAGTTACATTAATTGATGATAAACTAAAAATAATTTATTTTATTAAATAATTTAGTCAAAGCTAAAAAACTTCTAATCTATCATTACAATGTACATACTAGAATCGATATTTTGTTATTATAAATGTCAGTCGATACATCGCAAGTCGCAATCGTTTTAACATTGATATCTATTCGATTAATTATGAATATATTATAAACTAGTTCTTACATGATTATATTGCTTAACTAAGCGTTAAATACGATTACAATAACGGGTTACACGATTAATTATTACACGAATTCCCTGTAGAATGTCTTTTTCCATGAATGAGAGAGCTTCATTTTTTTTATTGATAATAAATCTTCGAATAATTATTATAATGTCATCAATAATAAGTTTTCCAAATAAATACTCTCAAACGAGAAATGTGGCATTCAAGAGAGTTGTAGTAGTCATATTGTCATGACGAGAAAATATAACTCTTAACAAACTCCGTTCACAAACCTATATATAATGTGCGTGCAATGTGTGAATATTTAAAAATTAATAATAATAATAATCAATAATCACAATAATTAATATAAAAAAACACATAAATTAAAGATTCAGTCCCTTCACTGTGTTTCGTTCATTGCATAAAATAAATTATGTACATTTAAAATTATATTGACTAAACAAAAAAAAAAATAATAAAAATTCATCTAATCGAAAATTAAATAACATATAGATAGTATTTACAAATAAAATCTTATAAAAATATTGTCTTATAAATGTTTTTGAACGTAACATGATTTTGAAATTAATGCGTAGGTACATTTTAAAAGTACTATTATGAACTACCTCCCGGAGAATATGCTGATCGAGTTTGATGTTGTGCGTTTTCTGACGAGGGTCGCTTCAACTGGAATGAAACAGAAAAATATTATATATATGAGGATTCTTCGATTTTGGATTAGTTTGATAATAAACTTAATAGGGAATTCAGTTCATTTATTTCATAAAAATTATGAGCGGCCAGTGCCATAGACATATACGAGGGGAGGTCAATAAGTTCGCGGAATGAGCGGGAAGGGGGTTGAAATTTAACACGAAACTATTTTTCCTTTTCAATATAGTCTCCCTTAACCTTAATACATTTTTCGGATCTCACAAATAATTTATTAATACATTCGAAAAAAATTATTTATCTTGGCTATCAAAATAGGCCGAAATTGCGGACTTGACTTCTCAAATATTTTTCACCGCAGCTTTTTTTTCATTTTTGAAAACAAATAATAGTCGCTGGGGACTAAGTCTAGACTCTAAGGTGGGTGGTGTAGTTTTTCGAGTCCGCATCGGTGAATGGCAGCCGTCGCAACATGGCACGTGTGGACTGTTGCGTTGTCGTGCAAAAGGAGCACACCTTTTGACAGCTTTCCTCTTCTTTTTTCCTTGATAGCTTCTTTCAATCTAATAAAGAAGCGTAGTACTGTCCCGTTATAGTCACACCACGATCTTTATAATTGATCAGCAAAATACCTTCTGTATTCCAAAAGACAGTCGCCATGATCTTTCCGGCCGATTGTGACACTTTAAACTTCTTTGGAGGAGCTGTGCCTTTTTTATGCCACTGTATCGATTCTTACTTCGATTCAGGTTCATAGTGGTGAACCTAGGTTTCGTCACCAGTAAAAATCCGGTCCATAACTTCGTCCTTATTCTCTCCACAGAGCTTCAAAAACTGGCGAGAACACTCGACACGCTCGCTCTTTTGAAGTGGCGTGAGCATTCTTGGAACCCATCTTGCACTGACCTTAGTCATCCCAAGATGATGATGTAGGATATTTAAAATGCTTTTTTCAGATACTGTAACCATTGCTCCAAGCCGTTTCTTCTTCAACCGGGCATCTTCCAGTATAAATTTTTCTACTTTTGCGACGATTTTCGGTGTGGTGGCCTCAATCGGTCGTCCGGAGCGGGGGTCATCTTCAATGGACTCTCTTCCTTGTTTAAAAAGTCCATGCCACTTGTAAACCATGGTTTTACCAGGGGCAGAGTCCGCGTAAACTGATAACAGCTCTTCAAAAATTATCCGAGCGGATTTTCCTTGCTTGGTGAGGAACTTAATAACGGCGCGGTGTTCAATTTTCTCCATACTCACTGACTTCTTCCCGATTCACTTGTTTGCAGGTCAACAACTCAAAAGTTAATGACCCGATTTGGTTCAAACTTGGTATATATACTATTAATGAGGTGTTGAACAAGTTACTACCTGGACGAGTAAATCAACCCCCTCCATCCCCTCCATTCCGCGAACTTTTTGACCTCCCCTCGTACTAATGGACGTGCCGTACGTGTATAATCTGCAGTAATTTTTTGGTTTGAAAAGAGTGAGAGGGATGGCCTATGCTTTCGGTCTAGCACTATCTCTTTCCTCATCGATGATTCTTGTATATTCGAGTAATGAGTTAAATTTGAGAGAGATAAAGATAGACCGAAACTTCGTTTCTCCTCTTTCTTTCGGAGTGCTATAATTCTCGTCTCTAAGGCATGTCCATTAGTATATGTCAATGGCCAGTGCTGAATAGGGTAGTGATTGTCACTGAATGACGGCCATTATGCTATGGACAACCGTCAAACAAAGTGCACAAGCCTAACTTATTGCCTCATAATCTATTTTCATCTCAATATTTGAATGTGATTTTACATACAAGTGTAAAGAAATCGAGTAAGGGAGCGTTCATAAATTACGTGAGATGTTTTAGGGGGGGAGGGGGTCGAGTCAAATCTCATCTAATCTTACGTTGGAGGGAGAGGGGTCTCGGCAAATATCACGTATTTTTTTTTCTGAATGAAACAAAAAAAAATACTATTTTGGTCAATTTAATCCAGATTGTACATGCTTAAGATTTAATCTTAAGCGTAATCGTAATACGATTAAGATCATTTTACTAATTCGTTCTAAAAAAATAATTTCATTTATACCTCGACGTATACATTTACTGACTGTCCAATCACCATCCCTCATGAAAAAAAAAATGTAAAAAATATATATTTCGAAGTACATAAAAAATGTACAAGTACATAAATATATTAAAAATCTTTAAAAAAATATATAAAATATGCATACTAAATATGTTTTTAATAACTAATTTCCAATTTCCAATAGTCCAATTTGGTTCCAATAGTCTCTCTAAGACCACGCATGATTCTCCATGGACAGAATTAGAACAGATATTCATTTTTAAACCACAGTACTTACGATTTAAGTATTCTATTGTTAAACTTTTATTATACTTATAATTGAACTCTCAGCAATATTGATTACTAGTCTTAACTAGTCGTAAATAAAAACACGAAGCAAATTTTCTTTCCTTTTTACAATAATAATCTAACACATTTACGTAAGAAACCCACATTTTGAAAAATCTCACGTGAGATTGGGGGTTGGGGGGAGGGGGTTGAAAAAAATCTCACGACATCTCACCAAGGGGGGGGGGAGGAGGGTCAGAAATTTCGTAAAAACACCTCACGTAATTTATGCACGCCCCCTAACTAGATATTGGAAAGTACAAGTATGCTTTTATTTTTGAGTTCCGATTGTTACAACGCCTATGATGGATATAAAAAGCATAGATATATATATGTGTCACTGTCATGCCATTTGCATTGAAGTTTTATATAATCCGTAAGCAATCAAAATGGCGGCAAAGCGGTAAATGTCAAAAGTAGCATTGCAAGGTTTGGTAATTTATGTTCATTCATTGTTTTATGATTTGTAAAGACGAAAGTATTGCCTGGTTCAAAATTTTATGACTCTGATTTTGCACATTTATATACAATGGTAATTCGAAAGCTATACTTTGTCATAATGTTAGTATTTCTTAAAAAGTCATTGTATTATTGCTACCTGGTCAATGTTTCTTAGAAACAGATATTCATATATTTGTCTTTTGTCAGATGAGACCAAAATTATACTATGGTTACAATTATTTGTTTTAGAACCATGTGCTTAAACAATATTTAATATTTTACTATTTAAGTACCGTTTTGTGTATGTTGTGTTAATCTGTAAGATTTGCGTTTGTGTATATTTGTTGTTTTACTTGGAATATTCCGACATTCTATAGAACCGCAATAAAACGTCTTACTGTATAGATTTTGTACATAAATTTATTGATCAATTTCAGCATTGTTCTGATTAGCAACAATGAGAGAATTAAGTGATGGCATTCTATTTATTTTTATTATATTATTTTTCTATTTCTAGGAATTATAAACGGGTAAGCCAGTCTTGATATGATTGTTCTAGATCCGAACATGAATCTGAAGATTTCGTTCAGGACTTGATACATTAAAAATTTGTAGAGCATGATTAGGTGGATCATGATTACAAGTTTGTTAGAGTTTCGAGCATTCTTTCTAAAATATGATCAGTGGCGGCTGTACCTTAAGTGCACTCGTGCGCTGAACCACCACTTCAAAAGATTTGAAAATTACAAAATATTACTTCATCTTTATTTTTAAATTACCATTTTAATATTCATTTTCTAAATATACAAAAACGTATAAAAAAAAATTTCTAATTATAGGTAGTCAAAAAGTTTGAGCGGTTTAATACATCAATATCTCGTGCGCTTCGGCGAGTACACGAGGACTGCTAATACATCTTGTATGAGATACGCATTAATACGCCTGACGCGTGAAACAAAAGATAGTTCATAGAAATGTACCGAGTAATGAGTCGGTTCTCGAGCGCCGCACGAGCGGCCGAAGATTACCGAGAGCACCCGATGTATGACCAATTGGAATTGAAAAGAATCAAAACTTTTTTCCGATATACCATGCACTTGCAAAATGCACTTTCTGTGCTTAGTATTGAAAAAATAATTATACAAACAATATCCGATTTTAATAAAAATTTGATTGAACATTTCGCTTCAGAAAAATGTCGTCGCATTGATTTAATGTATAATAAATAAACATAGTTTATGTCAATTGGTTTTATGTTACATTTTCTAATTTAATATTTTAGTAAAGTGCACCACCAGTTCGATAACCCACCAGCCGCCACGGAATATGATAGATATGTAACTGTGATAGGTAGTTTGGCAGGATGCTGGAAAAAATGTATTTGTACTTTGTCTTACATTATTAATGAACCCTCTATTAGTTTACAGTTTTAAACTTATACTAATCTTATGGTTTCTCTTAATCATATTTAATGCACACTTTAGATCTAAATTTAGTTTGCTTTATAGATATGTAGTGATTAGTGAATGGATCATCTGATGATTTGTAACTCTATATGTACTCAGGCATATATTGTGAATGGATACTCTAATGATTTGTAGCTCTATGTAATCTTACCGTTCAGGTCTTGAGGCGTGAGCGGTCTCTTGAGCGTCGCTTGTATGACGGCCAGCCAGCCCGCTCTGTCCTCGTGAGTGGTGGCAGCGAGGGAGAAGGTCCGCTCGGGAGTCACAAGATGGAACGGGAACCGCGCCTCCTTACAACCGTTACCAGTGTTTGATACTTTGATATGGTAGCCGTTTGATTCATGGCCTGTAATATCGATTAATATTTCCATCGATAACTATTTCTACATCCCTTTCATTTTAAAAATTATAGCGTCAAAACTGGTCTGATTTAATTAAAAGCTGTTTTTAAGCGCTCGTTTTTATGATTTAAGTCATTTTTTGAGAATATATCAGCGCCCACCGCTGAGCAAAGGCCTCTTTCTCACATGGAGAAGGTTTGAGCATTAATCACCATGCTTGCTCAAGACGGGTTGGTGATTTCAAAGTTATAATTGTGAAACTATAAGTCCAGGTTTCCTCACGATGTTTTCCTTCACCGTATGTCAGTGATGTCTAAATACTCTAAAAAAGTACATATGACTCCGAAAAATCACATTGGTAGTTGCCAGGTTTGAACCTGCGCCCTCGGCAACGAGAGGCGGACCCTTTAACCACTAGGCCACCACTGACTATATGAGACTATATGAATAGCTTACCAATAAATATCTCGCCCTTGGGATACGCGTCCAACGGTTCGTCGTGGTACATCAGCTTCCTATTGTCCAACGTGAACCATCTTCGTCTGTGCACGTCTGACGGCCGAGGACCCGTCTTCCACAACCAGCCCTCGCGAGCGAAGTCCTTTGGCAGACGGAGCAATAGATCCGATTGTGGTGTTGATGGGAACGCTACTTGCAGTATGTGCAGTTTAGCGCATCGTATAGCCGTATACCTATAAATATTAGTAGAAAATATTATAAACTCGTCAGTAATGTTTGAAATTACTTTAATTGGAATACAATGAGGAGATTTTAATAATACTTTACGATAATATGAATTCTATATCTGAATATACTGGCTATAATAATTTATGATGAATACTATACAGGGTGACTGGTGAATTACTATCAATATTTAAGGAGCATACTCGGTACATGATTCTCATTCGAATTATGTAAAAAAAATAGGTACTTAATTTTTGACCAAATTTCCGTATAAATAAATAAAGTGTGTACACGTTCCAAGTGTTCCTAGTGTGGACGCGTGCGGCGGCGTGGTGATACAACAACACGCCGCCGCGCGCGTATGTGTGAGTGTGTAGTGTAGAGTAATCTGTAGGGTGTTCATACGATGCGTAATTAATTACACAACTTTTGGTTAACTTTACTTAGAAGTTTATTAATATTTATTTTATATTAATTTTTATTTCGTCATATATGATCGTCAAATATGTATCACGTCCTCAAATATCGATAGTAATTCACCAGTCACCCTGTATAGTTTCGAGCGAGATATAGTGACTTTATATTGTGAAGTTGTAGTTTGAATGCCGTCGTGTATCTAATAGGCGATAGATGGCGTTGCTAGTCACTTACTAGTACACGTATAATATAAACAGACAATAATTGCTATCCAATACAAAATTCAAAATTTAGATGATCAGAGTTTAGAGTGTAGTCTTAGTTAAGATTACAAATATTTTTACTATTTATATTAAAATTCAGTAAAAGGATTCTAAAGCAGCTTTTATATTTACTTACATACTTTTTTGCTATATTTAATAAAATTATAGTACATATATTTGTTTAATTTTTAATATTTTAAATTTGATTTTTAAGTTAATTTGCTATAATCGTGATAACGATAAGAGTCTCTAAGGGACGAACCTGAATGTAAACTTAGTAATTTTAAATCCCTTATATCGATATAATTAAATTTAAATGCCACAAAGCCTGTGTATTTAAATCTATATACTTTTTATTATTAAGACGACAAAAGTAGTTTAGTAGTAAAGTTTTAAAAATGTAACATATGTTAACACTTAAATTTTTTTTCGTAGTGCAGTTTTTGGGTCAAAGGTCTGCTACATACATTCGTAGTTGATACAATATTTTTCTTTCTACAAACAGTATTAAAACGAATTGTTCATAAATTTATAAGAGTAAATAATACCAAAAAAGAAAAAATGAAACCTCGAATGTCAAATAAACAAACAAAGATAGAAGTTTAAAAATATCAATACATACATTTTCATCCTTTTTTATAAGTAGTATAAAATAATATTTACACGAACCCGTAAGCATTCGGCCGAAGTTTTTTTAATGTTAAAAAATAATTTTATTTTGGCTTAATTATTTAAGACGACAGAATTTTTGTTCGACACTTTCTTATCGGAACATTACGACTATTTAAAAAAAAATTTTTTTCTCATTGTAAAATTTGTGTTACGTTACGTAACGATAGTACATATATAGTTTAATCTTAAAAACACTACACGTCACACAAAAAAAAATTCACGTTCACTAAAGCATAAAATAAATAAATAGTGATAATTACCAGCAGTTGATAACTTCTGGATCTTCGTGATAAACGTATATATGTCTCGTCGAACCATCCTTCATGAAGGTTAGCTGCATGGAGTTCCTATGGCCGATTTTATCAGGAGCGAAAGACACGTTTAGCTCAGACAGCTTCAAAACACCCTTCGGCTCCCTATGTTCCTTTACGTGATATCTATTGAATTGAAAATTAATTAAAATGGTATATAACACGATATTAGTTAGACAAATATACAATACATGACATCCCATAGTGTGGACAGACGTGGCTGTGCTAAGATATTAAGTACGAACACGGTTATAACCTAATATGAATTCATAAACTTCATTTAATATAAAAAGCGACAGAAAAGAAATCCCGAAGAAATAACGAAGGAGCAGATTTCTATTAAAATTACCCTGAAAACGATACTTTTATGTTAAATGAATATGTTAAAATACAAAATAATTCGTAGATATATGTATAGTGATCTGTTAAATGTTTTTTTTTAGTTCCATATATAGTGACTTCAAATGTAATGTATAATGATTGATGTGAATATTATTAAAATTCAAGCATACGTTACAAGATGACCATGTTTACAAACAGCGTGAGTGGAAAGGCTTAATAGAAGCAAGCGATATTAAACCTCTTTAACCGGGAAGCTAAGCATAGTTGTGAACGCGGGAAGAGATCGAACGTTTATTTCGATCGAATTTTCTATACATATTGTTTTTTATTAATATTAAAATTCTACGTAATCTGTGCTACATTGAACCGTTAAACACTTCTTACCTCAAACGACCCAAGTTTTTGAGTCGGAGATGTTCGAAAATCCGACCGAGACAACCCGATGCACGGCTACAGCCGTCGGAAGCGTCTTGGTACCTAAGAACCATTCCGGATTAACACTAGACTAATTAACAGAATCATTTACACAATCAATTTTGAAATTTTCTCTCTTCTTATTTCGTGCACTTCGTCTCTTTATTATATATACGTCACGATAACGAGGCTGTATTTCATTAAATATGTCACTAAACGTCATATTTGACATTGACATAATATTTATTACTAGGTTTTTTAATTTTTTTTTGGAATAATCGCACAAACTAGCTACGATTTAAAATAAAAATCTTAATTTAATCTTAATTTATATATAAATTTAAAAAGTAAGTAATGTTCTTTAAGTTATTTTTTTAAATTTATTTAATGTCGCTGAGATTTTGCGTGTTTTGATAGTTGTCAAAGTAATTTATTTTGAGGTCAAGCGGTTTTAATTTTTTATAGCAATTCATTTAATATAATGAAACTCTCAAACTCTCTGCTTTCATCCAACTATAAAAAGAGCAAATAATAAATTAATAAGTATGACTTGACGTGATATTAGTTATTTCTTTGATGTTTTTATTGAGACACGTATAAATTTCTCATTATATAAAATCATTTTATGACAAATGAGTGTAGTTTCACGTTAAAGTTCTAGTTTCATACGTAGTCGTTACGTCAATGGCTTTCCTTTGTGCATTCATTCGATTCGCCATATGCGAATTAATAGTCTGACGTCTTAAGAATTCAATAATAAATCTAATATCGCACATTATTCACAGCGATTGAAATTTTATATACCTATATTAGAATTTGTTTTCTGATAAGGACGTGATAAGTGTGCAAATTGAAGTCAGTCATAGCAGCAAAACCTCCGAGGAGTTCAGGATGACGTCAGAAGTCAATATTTGTTCTGGCCTCCTGACGTAGCAGTGTGGAAGATTTCTCATCATACGTCATTACAACGAAATTCTTTCATTAACAGTTAAAACTGCTCTACACTACACTTGCAAGGACCACGGAGTTCGTATATACGGTCGTGTAAAACGGACTTAATGAGTTTAAAGATCGTAAGCTGATAAAAAAGTTTTAACAGATGTTAAAACTGTGTGTAGGTATATCATCATTGTAAAATAAACACGAAAGACGCATATTGAATAATTTGACCGTCACTGTAATTTAGCCACATGAAATAGCGTGTTAAAAGAAATGTATGTCAATGAAAAGCGATTAGATTAACACAGAATATTTTTTTTTTTTTGGACGACTGTTACACAGTACCATCATCACGGATGAACATGTGGTATGAGGAACATGGATGATCGGTGTGACAGAGACCAATCACGTAACATGCATGTTAAAGTTCCTTAAACATTGACTACACGATACATATATTTCCACCCGGACTTACTTCAGTGTGTCCTCGCTTTCGTTGAGAACGAACTTTCTGAGCTGATAGCGGCTGTCCTCTTTGCCTCTCTTCATCAGGAAACCGACCATTGACCCTGAGAGGTAGTTCTGACGTTCTGGATGACAGAATTCCTCTCTCTCATACTTCGCTCTAATCCACTGCTCGATTAATACCCTGAAAACATTTATATTATATACATATACTAGTTCATGCCCGCGATTTTGTCTGCGTTAGTTTCAGAGTAAGAAATGTATAGCTGATAACTAACTCTATCCCTCATTAAAGTAGATAAGAAGATTTTGGATTTGATCATTTTTTTTCTTTTTCAATCGGATACAAAGAATTCTATATCCTTTTCCTTGTTCTAAACTATTTTGCTACTAATTGTCAGCGAAATTCGTACAAGTTCTATACTTACAAATAATGTAACTAATACGACTTTCTTTTATATATTATATAGATATAAACGCAAATATATAATTATATTATTACCAATATTTTATTTAACTCTCGTATATATCTGTAAACATTCACGGTATGGGATGTTCGATTATAGATAACGCATTCAGGTCAACTTTTTTTTCTTCAAATCTTGCACCGATTTAATGTGATACCATGAAGTGTAAACAATATTATTATGGTTATACAAAGTGGATATTAACTCGCGCGTATTTTACGTTAATAAATATAAATCTTGTATTATTTATGAGCGGACTGTTAATAATTTATACTGCCTATTTATCATATATGAATGGATGCAACCTAAATATACATCAAGGATATAGGATATATACATTTATATACATATGTATACATATATATTTGTATGTGTGTGTATTTTTTGTGCTAAATTCTCCCAAGTACATACTGTGGATCATTTAGTGGTGGCCTAGTGGTTAAAAGGCCCGCCTCTCATGCATGAGGGCGCGGGTTCGATCCCGGCCCTGGCAAGTACCAATGTGATTTTTCCGACTCATATGTACTTTCAAAGAGTATTTAGACATCACTGATTAAAGCATTCCCAAAGAGGGTTGATGTCAGGCAGGTCGTAAAAACAATTAGCCAAAACTATTCACAATATAAGGCAGACCCTGGCTAAAGCTGGGAAATTGTCAGGTAGAAGAAGAAGACTTCATCATCAGCCTATTAGACGCCCACTGCTGAGCAAAGGCCTCTTTCTCACATGGAGAAGGTTTGAGCATTAATCACCACGCTTGCTCAAGACGGGTTGGTGATTTCAGACTTATAATTGTGAAACTATAAGTATAACTATAAGAGGACATACTGTGGATCATTCTTCGTGGGACGTCTGTAACACGGCGGTACTCTCTCCTCGTATTTATTCTTAGCAGCTGTATTCCCCACTTCCTTCATCCTCTGGACCTGGGAATCTTCCCAGCGGTCTAGTTCCAGGTGTTTAACTTTACTGATATGAGCTCCCATGCAGCGATGGACACTGGCGCATCGCATGCATATGAATATACCGATGTTGTATGATGCCCAGTCCGGATCTAGAATGATATATATCGTATTATATTTACTTTATATATATTAATTTATAATTAGTCCTAGAGTAAAAAAAATCTATATATACCTATCTAGGCCAGAATGTATATAATATTTGTTATTTATAAGTAATAAATAACAAATATTATATAAAATTAAAACATACTTTGTTATTAAAGTTAATCATTTGTTGTTGTTAATCTCGTGTGTAATAAAAATGATTTATCATTGTGTATTTAACAAGGTATTATGCGGTGGCAAATAGGCATAAAATAAATGCCCTTCCGATAAAACATGTTTATCAGTTATCAGTGATAATACGTTTTGAGATCTAGTTGATACTAGATATTAATATAAATTACTATATACAAACATACTCTACTCTATGGCAATGGAATGTTGATAGTACAGCATATTACCGGGGTACTTAATGTTGATTTTTATTTTTAATAAAATTCCATACATTCCGTGTACAGAGTAATTAATGTGACAGAGAAAACATTATATAATAAACATCGATATAAAATATATATATAGTAAACGATTTTAGTTGCTGTGACTGCGTTTTTTGGCACGTACGATTAGTCTGCGTTACACTGTATTTTTTTCTAACGTAATATATTTAGAACTGTTGCATTCGCTTCGTTATTTGTTTGTATAGATAAATGTTCATTGTTATCAGCTACGATTGTACAAACACAGCGTACTATGACGTCAGTGTAACCGCCTTGATGTGCAAGTAACAAATCAATAAAAAAAATATATGCCCACATCCGTCCAACTGTTTACAATATCTATGAATGGAGTCAGCGGATCCAACGAGTCGAGAATATACAACGCGATGGTCAAACCAAAATAGTATTAACATTCAGCCCCCGTAGAGAATTTGAATCATCAGTTTAAGACAATCGTCTTGCTTCATAATGCTTCACAACTACATAGACGCGCGCACACGCCGACACAACGTCACACACTCACACACACAAACGTGGCCTCTCTCCGTCGTAAATAACATGCTATGCTATGTTTTGATCATAACAATTGTATGAATCTGTTATTGCGATTTTTAACTGGTTTAAATCGGGTTATCAAAGATTCTGATTCTATACTACGTGAATATTATATGTCTATATAGGCTCTAACATTCGTATAATTTTTATGTAGGTATAACATATTAAATATTAATCAAAAATTTGCGTAAAAATTATTTGGTCCGTTCCGATTATCAATAGTTTTTATTTAACAGAACTTAACCGACCTCTTTAGTAGCAAACTCTTTATTATATTTCTCGTTTTTAATATGGTTTAAGAATTAAGTCATAATTTATTTTAAACATTTGGGTGTGAATCCGTCCTCTTTTTTTATAAATAACTAAATATCTTTGATATATTTGCATGAAATTTGCTAACGATAGATGATAAAGTACAGAAAAAATTATAAAAAACGTAATCTTATTCTATATTCAAATTGATAAAAAAATATCAGTGACGAAAATCTACAACTAATATATATTTTAAGACCAAAGAGGTTGTATACGTACGATGTTAGAACAATGCTTTACAACTCTTACATATAATAAAATATAAAATGAATGTTGAATTACAAAAATTCCTATCGCATTGCTAAGTTAATTGCTTCTAGATAAGATTAAACGCAAACATAAATGGTTTTGTATGAAAGAAAGCTTGGATCAAGTTGAATGTACGTCATCGATTGGTTATGTCAAAATACCGATCGAAATACAATATTTAAGAGAAGGTGGTGTTGTTAAAAGCGAAGTAGTTTGACATTTGACAATTAAGCTAATGAATGAAAGAACGAATGTTATTTTACTGATATTGAATGAAAAAGTACGAACAGCCGAAATCATGATTAAAATTGAATAACATTCGTTCATTTGCGTTCCAATGTTTTATATTTCTGAATTAAATATTAATATTATTTTTATTGCAATAACACTAAAAATAATTTAATTCAACATAATTAATTTAAAACTTATTTATTCAAATAAAAGCGAATTCTTATATAAGTTCGAGATAACGCTTAATAGTAGTCATCAGTTATTTTTAAACAGAGATAAAAACAAAGCATTTCTATTTATACATATGATTAATATCAAACAAATCTAAAGTAGGTTTTATATTTTGTTTTTTTACGAAAACGTATTATTACCGCATTGCATCATGACGTCATAAATGTGACGTCAAGATAAGAGTCGATAAATGTAGCGATTTATGTTCCAACAACGTATTTATAGTAATTTAAATTCATATACATAGCTATTAGGTATACATTTTCGTGGATATCATATTATCGCGACGTGCCCAATCGAATTTTGTTTCTTAATTGGCGGTAATTTGAGTTTTTTATCCAAATTCGGGTGCTTGAATACGAATTGTGTATTATCTTTAATTCGTTATAAATGAAATTTAAATTTGACTCGCGATATCGTACTTTTACCTTTTACTTCTGACAAATAAAATGGGTTAAAACCGGGATGAAAAAAATGGTGCAATAATTGCCTTCCTGTTTACAATGTGGCCGTTTAACCGCAAATGTTTGTCTTTAGAAGCAAAATAAAAACAACTTTTACTTTTACGCTATATACATATTATATGTTAAAGAAATTAACCAATTATTGAACAGGATAGACCTTTTAATGTATTTAACATCCTAATTGAAACCTTACAAGTTCCTGTTACCAAAGTTGTCGCGCGGGAAACTCCAAATATGGCGGAGTCAGCTAACCATGAAATAGGGTGACCACATATTCAGGGCGTTGAATGCCCGCAGCCAATCTTTTAATACTGTCTATTTTAAACCACAATTCTTAAAGTTTTTCCATAGTTAAAAGCTCAAAAATTCCTACTACAGCGTGTATAAAAATAAAATATAACTTATATTGCTCTACATACGTAATTTAATCGTACCCTAACCTTAACATCCGTATTCTATATATTTGAATTTACTTAACGTATAAATTTCCTTTTTTTATATAGATTCCAAAATATGAAGATAATTTTCATTAATAAATTAATCGTATTATTATTCTGATTAAATTTTAAATTATGCAAAATATTCACGTCCTCATATCATGTATGTTTAAGTAGTGAGAAAAATAAAATCTTTCTTCCCATTTTAAAGATATTTTAAGTCGAACATACCCATTAACATAGAAAGCGAAGTGTATTTTATTAAATATCGTAACATTAATATAGTACACTCAGGAGCCTAAAGCATTTGTTTTGCTTAATTCTGAGAACCTATTAATATATTTCCATTTTTAAAATGATATGACTATTTCATTATTCAATTTAAATAAAAATATCTGCAAAAAAAAAGAAAAGTATTTTGAATTTAGAATCAATTCTTCAAGTCGAACAGTTCAGCAAATTACGAAAGTTGTCAAGGTCATTAGAGATTAATAATTTCACAGTGGATTTCCATTTGCAAAATATTTATTTTATTATTTATATATGAAAATTTATTGTTCACTAGTTTTTGCCCGCGACTTCGTCCGCGTTAATTTCGTCATTAGTAATATAGGTATAGCTGAACGGGCAAACTCTATTCCGTCTTCAATAACCCGGTATTGGTATTTATTAAATTTCTACTACTTCAATCGAACAGAATGATTGACATATTAGTTAGTTGTCAAGTCTAATGTCAAAAAATCGTTTGTATGGGAAATAGAAAAGGGCTGTTTTTAGGGTTTTTCCGGCAATTTTTCCAATTTTTCTCACCTTTCAAACCTTTCCTGGAATTCCAGGAGTATTTCAAGACTAAAATTAGCCAAATCGGTTCAGCCGTTCTCGAGTTTTAGCGAGACTAAGGAACAGCAATCCATTTTTATATATATAGAAGATTATGCAAATAACTTGTCCATAACTTAAAACGCTAAAGTATATTACTTATATAATAATTGGGACGTGATAATGTTGTTTGCTAATAAATTGAACAAAATGTTAAATAACATCTTCGTATATTTAAATTTGGAACATGTTTATATTTATACCGTGAAATGTTTTTTTTATTATTATTAACGCTTAAGCTTCAGTGACACTGACTAAAATTTTTTTTAATATACTTTATATATAATTGTAACTGACATTTCCAATTCCAAAATGACAGTTCAGAAACTGAGTACATTTTATTTTAAAGATATATTTTTAAAGTTTTTGAAATGTGATTTAATTTTTTAATTTATTATAATTAAATTATTCCATAGTTTATCCATACGTATATTTTATAATGATATTTTATTTATGTTTTTACAGTTGTCAAATATTAATACAATGTATTAGCAAAGTTAGATAACGATTGGAGTTTCGTACGAAATAGTTTTATTTGCGTTCAGTAACTTTAGTTAGAGTTTATATTTTTAACTATACACGAAGTATGAATGAAAACGAGGAATTGTCAGTTTGATTACAAGTACTAAGATCTTTGCTGTTGTGTTTCAATCATAAAGAAATAACGGTCTTAGAGTGAAGTGGTGTTTGACTGAAAATTCCCATGACTAATGACAATAATATCTCTCATTATATAATTTTCTATAACTCTATTATCTATGAATGAATAGACAAAGACAGCTCAATCACCACGAAGTTAGTTTGCATTATATATTTTTTATTTATGAAATATATTAATAATTATTTTTAAATTTATAAATACGAAAATACGCATGTTAATGAAAATAAAAACGTTAGTGTTTATGTTGGGAAATCAAACTCGTACAAGGCCAATAAACTTTTTCCATCTCAACAACCAAGTGTTGCCTTAAATTGATGATTTCTTAATAAAATAACGGAATATTAACAATAATACGGATATATGTATGTTATTATTATAAAATAATAATAATTTTATGTAATGTAAATATTAATTGTAATTTCATTATGATTAGTCGACAAACTTCAGATATAACAAATCATAACACGCGTCTTCGATCGCCCCGCAATACGTTGTACTTGTTTCGGAGTCACCATCTAGGTCATGACCTAATTGCATTCGTTCTTTAATTATATATTTATTAAGTTGTATCATATCTATTTATGTTACATATACGACCTCTTTTGACAAACACCTTAGGTAAATGTCAAAGTCAAAGTGATGTTTTATAGTTTGTTTTTTTTTTTTAAATTCGAATTGTTTAAAAACGCAATGTCACCGTTCATACAGCCATCTCGGTTTGTGAAATCTATTATATTATCTAAAGCTAGCCGGCGATCGGTTTCCTAGTCTGACTCATATGAAAGTGGCTATGTAGGTCTCGCACCCCACCGCTAGACGGTGAATGAGTCATTGCCATGAGGAAAAACCATAATATTTCGGTACATCAAATCACCGCTGTTTACTGTTACTTACTGTACTTATCATTTGGCTTTGTCTTAAACGTCAAAATACTTATATAAGCTATATTAAAATAAATAATAGAGAACTTGCAATAGATTCTATATATTTTTTTATATATTTTTCTTTTAATAGAATAATATATAATAAATGTATATATTGCTTAATGTTATACAATAATAAGAAAATAATATATATTTTTATATTTTTTTTAACTGCCAGTTGCACAACCATTATACAGGGATTACAGATAATTATAAATATATATTTTTTTATTACTTGAAGTTATTTAATTGACAAAGTTCGTATCTATTCATCTTTGCGACGTAAAAATAAAAACCCTTAATTGCTTCAGTTATGCCAAAAGTCTGGATAGCTTGCCAAATGTGTCTGCATTTCTTATTTAAAGTCAAATATAAAGTCGTTCTTACATACTTTTTTTATCTATATTTTTTTAATTTCATTCAATGACAAATATAAACTTAATAGTTTATAAGTTTCCAAATATCGTTTAAAAAAAAAATCATTTTTTTCCCGCGATCAAAAATTATATTTTGACTCTACAATAATTTTATCGTAAATTGTATTACTTGTTATCAATTTATTTTTAAAACATCACACATTTAATTGTTTATTTATATTTCGTATGACATATACTTTTAAGAATTTTTAAATATAATTTTACGTTGTTATATATATACCTATATGAGCCCTTATTTAACTGCGTTGTGTCTTCATGTTGAGTATAAACAAGAGTGCAGTAAATTATGTAACTTAATCTACAGATGCATAGTGAGTTCGAAGAAAATTTTATAAAATGGACGTCTAGAAATCGTAAAATTATCAAATAATAATAATAATTCATACATTTAAAAGCTTAAAGCTCGTTTTTATTACTGCTTTTTATGTTTTATTTAATTAATTTTTTAAACTTTATTTTGCTACAACACACTACTGCATCGAGTTGGATGTAAAATAAGCGTTTTCTAGCTGTATAAAAAGTTTAAAAATAATAATATATTTTATAGTTTTGTTACATTCAGCATGAAGGACACCTATTGGTTGTAAACACAATAATGGTCCTTCCTTCCTCAACAAACATTTAGCTTTTGAATTTACAAACAATAATAATAACAATATTTATGCTCTGATAAGTTATTGTAGAGCTAAGGTTAATTTAAATCTTAATTATTCGTCGTCATGTGCAAACATGAAGAACATGCCAGAAGTTTTGTACCACGAAATATTAACTTGAATTTATATTATATAAACCGGACCAATTCTCATAGGCGTTCTTACATTACCTACTTACAACATATCCGCTTGTTTGATCATCGTTACATTGTTATTGTGCTCAATGTTGATGATTTGTTTTCATTGAATGCATTTTACGTCGAGGTCACTGAACTCCCAAGCATGGACGCACTTACGCCCCCCGCCTATTCACCACCCCATGGAAATACCACGCTTTACAAGATGTGTAAGCCACTAATAAAACACTATAACATACCCACGCTCCCACAGTCGGCACAAACATTATTCCCTGGTTTCTTTAACAACTCCTGTAACAATTTCTCGTTATGATCTACCATCGTGGAACTTTTGCATCAATAATGAAGACACACGCCACTAGCGTACGTCGCCACCCGAAAGTCAAACGCACGCCTCGAACGCGATCTTCGCTACTGCGCGAGGGAGCGAGCCAGACTTCGACCGACGCGGCGATTTGGTTCAACAAACGCCATTTCGTACGTAACTAGTTTCTGTTTCACTCGACCCTATTATACGCCATTGGCATGAATGAGATGGAAAGAGAGGTCTAGTTTCTGTATATGAATGAAATCAGTGAGTAGCGGACTACACGAATATAGGTGTCTGTGTGTCGATGTAGTGCTTGTCTCGTAAAGTTTTACCTGTGTGTGTATGGCGTAGTACGTGATACGACGTAATACAAGCGCCGTCGCCGTCTCGCGTAAATTCTTTATGTAGGTACTTACAACATTAAGTATATTCCATTTCAATAGAAATTGTCAATTACGTAAACGAACCTCCTGTACCATTCTTATCCGATATCCTTTGTAATATTAAATACATTCATTAATTTACTCGCCTTTTGGAATAATCGTAACATGTTCAAAAGATTTAGGTCAGAATTTTTTAAATAACTTGTCTTTGCGGCAACATCCTAGTAATTATAAAATAAAATATATGCTGGCATAACAATAAAATGGTTATTTTTTTTATTTCTCCCTCACTATTGAGTCCGTCATTTTGACAATATTGACTTTGTTAATATAATATATTTGCTAGTACGTATATACTTATGCACACTATCTTATGGAATATTAAATGAATATTTCCAGTGTAATGATAGTTGATACACGTAACTTTATTAAATAAGATATATGATTATGGTATTGTTATTAATAATTCTATATCTAATATTCTTAATAAAACCATATAAATTCTGTATGCGACAATCAAAACAAACTGTCAGTCATTGAAGTATAATAGCGATAAAAAAATTGAGTTCAACAGGAAAGTTATTATTTACTTCCCAAGAAAATAATCTAAACATTATAATTGCTTGTTGAACTTTATAATGAATGAGACATAAAACAATTTAAGTACGTTCCCACGGAGAGTGTAGTGTGAAAATATTTGTACACTAGCTTCACTCTTGAGAACTTGGAGTTATAATTATTCACATATAGCTAATGATCTCATTATAAACACGACCATTATAACAGTTTGATAGTTAAATAGTTTACATTTTTCAATATTTCGCTTTTTTTCCGAAGAGAAATTATAGAGATATATATATAGGTACTTACATAGAACGTATTCTTGTAGAGCAGTCAAATCCGTATTTTATTGAATTACTAGTTAATATTTCTTAGTTGTTTAACAAAAATATAACGATAAAAATGCCTTCGCAATTAATAAAAAAAGATTAAATTACTGAAATTATATGCTTGTTACAGTAATGCTAAGTTCTGACTCTCTAACGCTTTGCATCGGAGAGACTTAGAAAAAAATGTGTAACCTTTTAAAAAAAGAATTTAATTTTTTTTCAAGGAATTATGAAATTAAGTTTTATCTGATCAGTTTAAAATCGATGCTGGAACCTAATAAAAATCAGAGGTATCGAAAAATATACAAAACTATTACAATAGGTTTTATAAAATTTAAAAGACATTCTGTCTACTATTTTAGAATATTGATACTTAAGTCCTCTTTTTCATTACTACAATCATAGACGCGACTCATGATATTTTTATATTTTTAAGAAATTCTTTTACAAGCTCTATCATATGAAATAGCATTGAATATACAATACTAGCTGAAACTAACATTAATTATTCTTTCATTCTTGTCACAACACGTATTTAATGTAATTTGGAGTATTCCATAGCGTTATTTAACCTCATTCCTGAACCACTTCCTGTTACTCCTTTGAATGCTAACGCTCTACCACTAGGATGCGATGTAACTATACTTGTATCAAAAGAAAATCATCTATCGTTCCAATTTAATTTACAATAGCCAATTAATATTTAATGTTTATTAGGTATATCTCAAAAACATTTAAGCATTATTTTATTATTTTTTAATGAAAATATTAACAGAAATATAGATTATTTTTGTAAGTTACGCTTAATATAGAATTTTTTAATGATTATAATTTAAGCCTTAACGTTTAAGAGATACAATTCTATTGTTCATTAAGTAAGCACAGGCGGTGTAGTAAATTCTTTTAAAGAGACTATTATTATCTGTGGATTTTTACTATATACGAACAACTTTAGGTAGAAGCTATGAGTAAAGTTTTACATTCTTAAATCGTAATATAAAGTATTGTTAGTAAAGATAAGCTGTTTTAAATACGCGGGTCCCTATTTTGAGCGAGACCTGTTACAAATACAAAACTTTCTATTTTTTATCTAGAAACAAGCATTTGTTTTATTATTATGCCAAGTATTTTATATTTTAAATATTACTTGATAAGCTTAATTTATACAAGAAAATAATACTAAGGGAAATTTTCAAAATGTTGTTATCTCTGGATTATTATTATTAATATTAGAGTTTAAGAAGACATATATTATTATAATTTTAAATGTATACCTCCTGTATTAAGTTTTTACGTCTTATTTTTTAAGATTCACTGTATGCTATTTATTACAAACTTATTTAATACAAAAACGTTATACTATTCTCCTGTGTAAAAAAAAGTTTGAAATGAATAAATAAAAAGAAGACTTCTAGTTAGTTTTACTACTATTTAAAACAATTTAATCATATCTTTCATTTAATTCATGAAAACTTTAGTTTTCATAAATATATTTTATCTATGAGGAAATGTATACCTTGTGTTTCGTGTTTATCTGTGAATCTATGAAACATACAATTGTCAATTATAGACATTGACAGCACAGTAAATTAAAATTGTGTGGTAGCGGTTATAAAATCTTTATTTAGTATTTTTAGTCTTAAAAGTTGCTTGTAACTTAAAATTCATCAAAGAATTTATGTTTTAGTTTTAAAGTGAGCAAAACACCCCAGTAATCATGGGGCGACGTTCAATAAATACCACCAAGAGTGGTAAATATATGAACCCTACTGACCAAGCACGTAAGTAATTCTGAACTTATTGAATTAATTATAAGTTTTCTATATAGTTTATAATTAAATAAATTGTGTGCAATCTTCATTATTGATATTGATACATTTCTCACAAATTTGGTTGGTATGAAATATGTATCCAAGTTATAGCTATCCAATTAATGCTTTGTAAACAGTTTGTATAATCACGTATAGAATGATCAAGATCCGATATAATGTCTCAAAATATATTCCTATTATTGTATCATTACAGGAAAAGAAGCTAGAAAAAAGGAATTAAAGAAGAATAAGAGGCAAAGACAGATGGTCCGGGCTGCGGTGCTTAAAATGAAAGATCCAACTCAAATACTTGAGGAACTGCAGAAAATTGATGAAATGGGTATTTTTTTTGTACATTCAAGTTTTATTTTACTAATATATTTACTTTAAATATGTGTTTTGCTGTATTTCAGAGTACAATGTCCTTCAGCCGTCACCACTTAATGAGAAAGTACTTAAAGAGAAAAGAAAAAAGTTAAAGGAAACCTTTGATAGAGTTCTAAAGATGTATGTAAGTATCAATTGTAAGGTGCAAAAATTACAACAAATAACTTATGATATACAGTAATACCCCACTTAAAGCGACCCCATTGTGAGCGGTTTCACTATATTCACGATTTTCAAAAATTTATTCAGGTTGGGAGATTGCAGAGTATAGACAATAATGATGACCGTGTCTTGAACGTGTGTCAAACCATTAAAAACAGTGTTTGATGTTATGAATGTATTTTACAAGAATGTTAACAAAACGCTACCCAAAAGACAATACATGTATTTTTTCGTAAAAAATAGGAGTACCTATGTATTGTATAGGGTTCTTAGAATTAAAGTGATAGATTAAAATGATTTTTATATTTGTGTATTAAATTTTGACTGTGTTTAATCATAAACCTCGATATACGCAAATTTCAGTTAACGCGATTTTCTTCAGAACGTATCCCTTGCGTAAAGCGGGGTATTACTGTATATTAATATTCTATTTACGTAGAAATTATTGTCTGTTCAGTATTATAGAATTTTATACATTATTTCAGGATAAAGATGATCCAGAAAAATGGGTGGAGCTAAAAAAACAGGAAATGGAATATGAAACGCGCAGGGCCCATTTAATATCATACTATGAATCTGTGAAACATGCACAATCTGTGCAAGTTGATGACATCCCTTTACCAACACTGCAGGTTAATAAAATTTTTGCTATAGATATTATGTGTGTGTATGTATATGTATTTATATATATGTGTATATATATTATTTATATATCAATAGAAATTTATATGTATATTTTTACTTTTACATACTGCTACCGTCTTCATATTTTTCTGCTTTGCCTAAGGGTTGACTGAATGCCTTCAGGCATTAAGTCCACCTTTTGTATCTACGTTTACGTCTAAGTTTTTAAATAAATAAATAAATATGTGAAGAAAAAATCTATGTAACTGAGACTGCCAGTTGTTTAGATGTGATATGATAATGAGATCTAAGAATTTTGCAAGTATTGATTGAAATAAAACTGTAATTTATTGGATTTATTATATGTTTATTACCGTGATCACTGTTGCTGAAAAGTAATTGAGACATGGGGAGTATGTAGTTAAAAATAATTGTAAACCTGTAGATAGTAAAGCCGAAAAATGTTATTTTTATCCTAGATGTGTTATTGAATATAGCAGGTTTGAGTTCTTCTTATATTATTATTTGTCAAAATATGTTATCCTATAAAATATTATACAAATTTTAAGAGTTAAACAAAATTCTGAACTTTTGTGAACATTTTATACCTTTCACAAAATTATTTCAGTTTAGGTAAATGACATATGCAATATAATAGAAATTTGTACTATAATAGTGCTTCTTATATTAAGGCAATGCCCATTTGAGAACTTAGGTGAAAGATCAAATAGAAATATATAGAATGAACACTATTAACTTAACAATATGTAATATTTTTGTGTGTATTCAATTAAATGAAATTAAGCTTTTTGGATACTATGGTTTTCTGTTTTTATTATATATCTACATAATCCTGAAGTTTCAGTTCCTTTACATCAACAGGCAAACAACATGAAAGTTATGTGTAGTGTTCAAAAGGCTTAGTTTCATTTAAACTTTATTTACTTGATCAGTGTTCATATCTGAGTCTTCAGAATGTTTAAAAAATATGTTATTCTGCTTATAATAGTATAAGGAAAAGATTTGTATTTAATTTGTTTCTGTCTAAATAATCTTATTCATTAAACTTTATATAATTATTTCCAGGTTCCCGACAATCTTATTTATGGGAATGTACCCTCACAGATACCATTGCCCTTAGATTCAATTCATCCAAACTTGCCTGTTCGACCTATACTGAAGAAGGACTCTGTATATAGGGTAAGTTCAAAATACATAGCCTATTTACATATGTATTAAATAAATTATATATTTTTTTTATCATAAGCTACAATTTTGTAATATATAAGCGTAGGTAAGGCCTGTCTGTACATTGGAAATAATTTCAATGTTTCTCTTACAATGATTAAATTCTGCAATATTAATTTGTCAATATTATAAATTTTTACCCATCTATCATTCCCATAATCAAATCTATACAAAACATTATAATCAAATGTTTTATGTACATTTCAAAAATGCTGTACATATATATTAAATTCTTATCTGAAATGTACTACAAAATCTTACATACTGATATAATTATTACTTATTGTTCCAAATAATGAATAAATAGGATTATTCATGATAGGGGCCCCTAAACCTACAATTGGGTCGCAAGTCCCAGGCACTGTTGAACTCCTCTCCATGAATCCATAGAATGCTACTAAATTTCGTCTCTGTCTTATAACAGGAAGATAAATTTATAGTATTACTAGCTGCGCCCCGCGGTGTTACCCGCGGATTATCAGGTCAAACATTTTCACGGACGTAAAGTAGGCTATGTGTTATTCCTGGATGTCGGCTTCCTGTATACAAAATTTCATCAAAATCGGTTCAGCCGCTTGAACAAGTAACAAAAATACACACAAACTCACAAACTTTCGCAATTATAATATTAGTAGAATTATTGTTCACAATAATGCATAGATTGGGTTATTCACGATAGGGGCCCCTAAACCTACAATTGGGTTGCAAGTCCGAGGCACTGTTGAACTCCTTTCCATGAATCCATAGAATGCTACTAAATTTCGTCTCTGTCTTATAACAGGAAGATATATTTATAGTATACTAGCTGCGCCCCGCGGTGTTACCCTCTGTTAACAGGTCGAATATTTTCCGGGATGTAAAGTAGCCTATGTGTTATTCCTGGAAGTCAGCTTCCTGTATACAAAATTGAAGAAGAAACATACACACAGTCACAAACTTTCGCATTTATAATATTAGTAGGATTAATTTCAATAAGTTATGTTGGTGTTGATATGTTTTTCAGGAGAGGCCGTCAGGTGTGGAGCCTCCCGGAGTTCCCCCCGGCCCTCCGCCCGACTTGGAGTCATTGCTCGGCCTCGAGGGCAACAAGAAGGACAAACACAAGGAAAAGAAGAGCATCAGATTCTCAGACCTACCGGAGGAACCTCCGGGAGAACATGTGAGCTGATTTGTATTATATATCCACTGCTATGGTTTAAACTAAACGTCTTTATATAAGTAAAATTAATGTTAATAGAATCTACTTCTACTTTGCAATTTCCCACCTTAAGCTAGGGCCTGCCTTACATGTTGTGAATAGTTTTGCCTAATTGTTTTGGCTAATTGTTTTTACGACCTCATATAACATATTTTCTACAGTATTTCATATAAATTTATTTAATTGTACATACTTATTAATAAAATAATTATTACTGGAGGACAATCTTGTCTAATTGCACAGTAATTATAACTTATTTATAAGCGATTGCATGTTTTTATAAATCTTATAAAGCATTAAGTTTTTATTTTTTGTGATTGATCTTGCCTTAATTATATAACTTGTTTTTTATGTCTTTATTACTGTAGAATGATTTTCTTCAAGCAAGGAAATCATTTTGTGATAATTGTTAAGTAATCTGTAATGATTTTGGTCTTAGTATAATTTATTATGTTTGTAAACAATTAAATTGGAGTTCAAGAAAGTAACTGCAATTTTTACCAATACTTACCTACATGAGTATCTTAACAGAGATATCTTATAGCAGAAAAAACTTCTTTAAATAGATTTTTTATGTAATAATCTTTAGCTGACATATAAGCACTTTGGTCTTAGCACAATTTATTAGGTTTTTTAAACAATTATATTGGATTTCAGAAATTATTTCACATAGATTATGGGTACTTATTTTCATGTTAATGTTAACAGAGACTTCAGAAAATCCCTAATCATGAGGATGCTGAGGATGCAGGGGATGCAGATAAGCAGACTCACGCTCCTAAACCGACATCACTTCAACAAAGAATGTTGATGTTGTCCGGACAGAACATTGATGACTTCATGAAAGAGATGGAAGAAGTTCATCGCAAGAGAGAGAGAGATAGAGCAGCGGATTTGAGTGCCAGGTATAGCAATGTGTTAATGTGTGGTTTATGGGAACGAAATTTGCTTTTAATTTTTTTTATTTTATATTAGACTATACTGATTACTATGTAACTTAAACATGTCAGACTATTTATATGCCTTCATTGTTAATAAACTGTAATAATTTAAAGATAGAATAGCAATAGGTTTCAAATTTATGGACTACTTTTTTCGGTTTACATAATACATTCTGCCAGTGACAGTTAAAAAAAACCAAAGGAGTTTTAATGCCACTATTAACTTTTTACATATATCACTTCACATCTATATATATAAAAGAAAGTCGTGTTAGTTACTCCACTTATAACTCAAGCACGGCTGAACCGATTTAGCTGAAAATTGGCAGGGAGGTAGTTTAGAACCAGGAAATTGCAATAGGATACTTTTTATCCCGTTCGACAGCATTCCCGTGGGACTTGACATGAAACGTCAGTCACTATAAAACGTGGAATAATGAAACACAATTGACAGCTATGCAATTGACGTATAATGACAGATATGTAATGACGTATGGATGACAATTTGATATTTGTAAAAAAATCTACTATATAAAAATAAGTCCAGTTTTCCATCCTAACGCTTTAACTTCAGAACGAAAGAAGCAATTTCCACGGTTTTGCATTCGTTGGAAAGGTCTCAGGCTCCGTTACAACAAAAAATTTCAACAGAAAAGGGGGAGTTTTGTCACATACAGCGCCATCATACATAACATGTACTACAAATCAATATTTTAAGTAGATGGTGCCGTCGCATGATACATTGTTTGACAGCTACTCATTGTTCTCTTCTCAGTTAATTTCATTTGACAAACCGGTATTGTCTTTGTAGTTTGAACTCTTAAAACCATTTAGTATTTGCGGGATAAATTTAGAAACTCATTGTTTTTTCACATGGGCAGTTATATTTTGCATGTTCACGAGTTTGGAAACCATCGGCTTTATTTGTGTTAAAGTAAGACTAAAAAAACAAAAAATATGGTTTACAAAGGAGCACTTCAATGAAACGGATAATTTGCGGACACGTGTACCTAACGCTTCGATTCGGTATCTACTTTGGATTCGCTTTCATTTACTTAGAGAAGTTCAACTAAATAACACTTCATTTTTGTAATCGAAATGAATTCATTACTGTTGTGAAATGAAATAAAAATTTTCCTTTTCAAATGTATAAAAAAAAAATCTTCATCTTTTAATCACCAAACGAAATGTTATATAAAAGCTTTCTGGTGGCGAAACGGAGTTCGCCGGGTTTACTAGTTGTATATAATATTAGCTGACCCGGCGAACTTCGTACCGCCCTATAATCAAGAAATATCTGTTACCTTTTTTTCTGAATGAATTTAATTTCTCTATTAAGTATAGCTGACCCGACAGATAATGTTCTGTCTTCTTAACTGTGATTATTGAATTCTAATTGGTATATTAACAAACCAAAATTATTCCAAAAACAAAGTGCTTATTATTCTATTGCATTTTTCTAACTACAGACAAATAGCCAAATATTGATATATTTTTTATTATTTTAGACTGACTGCCCTTAAACGTACCGGTGGAAACCGTGACAGTGATTCCGACAGCGACAATGAGACCCACGGTCATCATCACCACGACTTCACGCCTGAACCACCGGGGGCTGAACTACGACAGATACCACCGCTCATACCACCAGGTCTCTTGTTATATTGGTTTATCTAGATTCTAGAATTTAAATATATATGTGTGTAGTAACTAATAACAGGATATATAGGTTGCTAGAGTACTTCAGTTCTGTCCAGTAAAATTTTGTTCTTGATTAGCATTTCATTATTATAGGCTAATTTCGAATACGCTAGTGTAAACATTATTGATTATAGAGAACTGTACTCTTCTGTTTCTTCAGTAGGCAGATTATTGTTGTAATAACAATTGTATTACTTTTCTAGGGCTTCGCCCTCCAATGCTTCGTCCGCCTGGAGTCCCTCCCGGGGCGCCGCCCGGCCCTCCTCCCGGATCACATCCTGCACCACATGCTGGTACTGTAAACATTTATTTAGTGGAAATATATATACTTTAGAATTCAATTTACACGATTGTCTATTGAAATTGTCTGTTTCATTAGAATGCTATACTTTCAAATAAGTATATTTTGATTTCAAATGTTTAAGTACTATATGTGTGTGTATGTGTTAAATAGATATTTATAAAAAAATATATATTAGTATTTTCCTTTGGAGAAATTTCATAAATTGTTGAAAATGTCATAAATTCGGATAGAGTATCAAATAGACATCAGAAAACTTGTTGCTAGAAAAAAAACACAATTTGCCCTTCAATTAATTTCCGATTACAAAAGAATTAAAATTATATTTTGCATTATGCTTTACATAAGACTGTTAGGTTAGGTTTACAAAGAAAATAAAAGAATTAGCAGACAATACTGATTTAGGCCGCTTAATAGGTTTCATATATAAACATTACTTATATGTAATATGTTCAATATATATCTTTCATCCAGGAGGCCTGATGCTGCCCCCGGGTCCCCCGCCGGGTCTCCCCCGCGCCGCTCTCCGTCCGCCGGGCCCCCCGCCGGGCGCTCCGCCCCGTCTGAGGCCCCCTCACGCTCCGCTAACAACCCACGCCCCCCTCGCGCCACATGTATCAGTACTATCAGCCGCGCCGCAGCTCATCACCAAGAAAGACGCTGTTCAAGGTATGAATATATGAATATTCTTATCATATTACTACATATATGACTATTCCTATTACTTATCATGTTACTATTACTTATCATGACCGGTCGTCGTGGAGATCCTTGGGGGAGGCCTATGTCCTGCAGTGGGCGTCTTTCGGCTGATGATAATGATGATGATTACTATATGAATATCTGGTTACAAAGCTTTGCTCGGTATTAAGGAAATATTAGTATTTATTTCGTGTTTTTTTTTGGTATATTTCGTTTAAGCATTTTTAAGAGAACGCGTTAAGAAGACACAAAACGATATAAGTCAAGAATTAATTTCTTAGTCTAACAAACAATCGTTGACTTCCTGTTACTAAACAACGCCATCTGTGTTTGTGTCGTTAAAGCAATTAGCAAGAAGTAGTATTATTATTCGATAATAGATGTCAGGAAGAGTCATATTTGAAATTGAATTGGGACTACTCAAACGCCTCCTTTTTGTTATTTTTTTTTCATAAAATGACATTTTCTAAATATGATTCTTGGCTAGATCGATTTATCACCCCCGACACCCTATAGATACTAAATTTCATGAAAAGCGTTGGAGCCGCTTCGGATATTCTAATTATATATACAACACCACGCCGCCGCACGCGTGTGTGTGTGTGTGTGTATACCTAATCTGTAGGGTGTTCACACGATGCGTAATTAATTACATAACTTTTGGTTAACTTTACTTAGAAGTTTATTAATATTTATGTTATATTAATTTTTATTTTGTCATATATGATCGTCAAATATCACGTCCTCAAATATCGATAGTAATTCACCAGTCACCCTGTATATACGAGAATTGCTTATTTAAAGATATAAGTACCTAATTTATGCTTATTACTGTCATACAGTTGAAAGTCAGACAAAGAGTCACGAATGACATCCCTAAATAAAGAATGGTATGGGTCGCGAGTGACAACCCTACCACTGTTAAACACATTACTGTTTAAACAATATATTAATTTAAATGAATAATATTTATATACTCCGTAATCTTTATAGAATCGAAACAACAGTTCAAAAACATTAACTTGTATTTGATTATAATCTTAGTTCGTATACTTTTTTTGTATAAGGACCACCATGAGTGAGAACATGAAATATAACACGCTATACTAAACCGGATCCACACGATCGATTCATCATGTAATTTCGGTTTATCAAAGCATTTTAACTTTTAATCCCCCGACTAAGAGTTTAAATTCATCTATCTTTTAAAATATACAATTATTTACGTATAAGTGGGTTGTATTAAAAATCACTTAAACACACGATGCCATCAACATACATCTTATATGTGATTTTTTCCCCGAATTCAAATAAAATTAAATACGTATTTAAAACCATATTTATCTAAACACGCGAACCCAAATTCTTTTGGTATTTTTTGCAGGTGCGACGATCAGTGCGAAGCCTCAAATAAGGAATCTATCAGCGGACGTGACCCGCTTCGTTCCTTCGGCTTTGCGCGTTAAGAGAGACGATAAGAAATGTAAGCCGGACATTAGATCGACCTTACACCGCCCGCCAGAGACGAGACAGCCCAGCAAGGACGACGCATACATGCAGTTCATGAAGGAAATGGAGGGGCTGTTATAGAATTGATAGCAATAAATGTATAGGAATACGTGTTGTTTCATTTACACACACACATACACACACACATATATATATGTATTTGTGTTTCATTTGGTCTAAGAAATTGCATGTATTCCATAGAGGTGGTAGACCCTAGCTCTGGGTCAACTTACTACAGCTCGAACATAGGCTGGCTCGACCGGGTAAGTACAACCTTCACACAGAAGATCGGCGTGAAGTAGCCTTTAATGGCTGCATTTAGTCCAGTGAGTAAAAGAGCCTTTACCCTTTTCCCACCTTTTCCTTCTCACTCCCTTTACCACCTTCCCCCTTTTTCCCAATCAAAAGCGGCAACACATCCGCAAATCTACGTTGTGGATGTCCATGGGCGACGGTACTACCTCCATCAGATAGACCTTCTGCTCGGATACATAAAAAAACAATAAAATGTAATTTTAATTATGTATTAATATTAAAATATTCCATATACAAAAAAAATCATGTGTAAAAACTTTGTGTCGTAAACGTGCTTAAAACGTGATGAATACTTAATATTTGGATTAAGTTAATTGCTCCTAATTAAATATTTATAGTTTTTTTTTCAATTTTCTAATGTTAAACGAGTAATTGTTACAAGATTTTTAATTTCCTCGTTTACATATAAAACACTTTTACTTTTTCATGGTACTAAACAACCACAAAACCTGATGCTTCGCCTGTTACGTTTCTTCCACCAGCCTTAACTTACAGGAGTTTTTATCTTTAAAAGAGAAGAATCTGTTTTAGAATTCTGCCTACTTATGACTGATGTAAACAAAATGATCACCAGACCATGAAAAAACAATGTTGCTAATTTATTAGTTGGTTTCTTAAATATCTTAACGCACGTGTGGATCATCCACACATTTTGGAGGGAATTACAATAATAATATTTTGAATAGGTACTACATTGATGTTTACTAGTCAGTTACCATAGAAAACGAGCAATGGAAATTATTCAGGAGTTATCCTTAAGAAAAATACAGGGACAAGTGAGTATTGGCACTTTTGATGTCGAGACTTTTGTTTTGATTTCTTTCCTTTTAATCGCAATAAAAATATATATTGATTAAATAATTTCTCTAATATCTATAAAGTGAACTTGTTTATATTTAGGAAATTGATGACTCGTAGGGGTAATATAAATAGCAAAAGTACTTTCAAGTTATTAGTTAATGACAAATTATAATATGTAGTATATATAAAGTGTAATTTAACGATTGCCGTTTTATTTATATAACTATTTACTGGAATTACCTAATCATATTTATGTGACGGATTTTATATGTAAAATTAATTGAGAAGAAACAATTGATTCACAGGTATTGCGTCTTAAATGTTTAATACCCCTGCTTATTCTTTCTTTAACTACTGTTTAATACTTAATGAATTGTTAAATTTATATATATGTTATTTTTATACGACTGGTCATTTGTTTTACTACGCTCTAATGAATATTTTGTGATGCTTAAATGTAGTTGTATAATAAAAATAAATGAATCGTTGTGATTGCATTGGAGAAGTAAGTTTAGCCTTTAAAACAATTTTTAAATTTCTACAGAAACTTGTATAAGCCAAATGTTTGTGTACCAGACTCTTGATACGCACAATAAAACTTTTTAAAATCTTTTACCTTGCGAGATATAGCACGTGGAATTATGTCTCGTTCTTGAAAAAATTACATATTAATTGCAACTTTTAAAATATGTGCTGGTGATTTCTTAATTGCTAAGTTACAAAAAAAAAGAGTGATAAAATTAAAACCACAACATCTAAAAATACATTTGAGGTATTCAATAACCTTAACTCATAATTTAAATCGAATTCTGTAAGCTCTAAATATAGCTTCTCAATTAGTTAACGAGTTCATTGCCCGGCTTTGGTGATGGTTTGGTGCAGTGTCTGCCATAAAGATGCCATAATGCCATACAATATATTGGTATTGACATTGTACCATAAAGTTAAAAAAAGGCACAAAAGTTAATCCAGATGCCACACTTCAAAAGGTATCTAAGCCCCTAAATGAAACCATGTTCCAATACCAAGAACTTTAACGTCCCGCACTTTATCAAACCTGAAGACCTAAAGTTTCCAAGTCCTGATTTTAATCCACTGAATCATCCTACATGGTCTGTTTTAGAGAGTATAAGCTTGAAGAGTAGGGTCATCTAAACATTGTGATTATTTGTAGTCCCTACAATTCATATGATTGATAGAGAAAATTATTGTCGTTATTGATGTGTGTTCTCAATGTTTAAAGGACTGTATTGCATTCAATGGAAATAAATTTCAAATAATCTTTAAATATTTTTGTTAAATGTTATTTTTTTAACTTTTTTGTTGCAACTATATATTATATAGCAATAGTACAAATAAATATACATCTGTACTACTACTGAGTACATTGATTTACTATTGCTTAAAGAAAAAAAACTCGACATAATTGATAATATTCAGAAATGCGAATCAGGGTTCCTTGAAGTAGTTTTATATAAGCACTATAGGTATGTTGTTATGATCTGCAGATTCATGATTCACGAATAAAAAATATTATAAAGGCATAGTAACAAAAAGTATGTGTATAAATATTATTTTTTTATAAAATGTTCGCCACAATACAAACATATTTATTTGTAATTGTAGTTCTCGGATCACTGATAAAAAAGTAACATAATTGAAGATTTCTTACGATAGTTTTGAATACTTATTTATCAATAAGTTGTATAGGTGGAGATCCGTAACCCAATGGAGAAAATTTTTCAGACTGTTAAATAGTTGATTTTTTGATCGCATGTCACTTTGCCCAGTGTCTTTTTGAAGGGACACTTATAGAAATCGAAATGAAATTAGGTAATATCAAATTCTCTGATTCTCCTGTTTATAAGAGAAATTTAAAACCACTTTTCTATGTTCTGTGCACTCATTAAATAATTTATTAAGAAATTTACGACGATAAAAAATCCAAAACTTTTTCGATGTTATATTCCCACATTATAAGCAAGACTTTAGATATATTACAATTAATTTTTATTTAATGATAACAATTATTATTTAAAATATATAGTTTGAAAACTTACAAGAATATATAATATTTTGAATTTACCTTATATTTCTAGGTTTTTTTACTTTATTAGTTAGTTAGATATAGTCAAAAACATTTATCCAAGTGATAATAAAAGTCATTGCTATTTCAATAACAAAATATGAGATATTTAAACTTTAATTCAGATATCACTAATCGATGCATAACATGCGATTCGTTTTTTAGAAGGATCTTTAATAAAAAAAAAAATATTGTACCTTTTAAACTCTGTAAAAACGTTTCTTTTTGATTAGGTATGTTGGAAGCAGCTGTAATCTTTTCCTGGCTATTATATTTTTTATTCCACAAAAACAAAGGCTAGAAAATGAAATCCAAAGTCCGCATTAACTTGAGAAATCTTCATGATCGTTGTATTCATAACTGTAAATCCTCCTCATAGATTGGCCGAGTATCTGTTCTCGTCTTATAAGAATAGGAATATGATAAATTGAGGTACAAATTACAATGTAACACATTCTACAGGACAGCATTCTCTAGCTAAGGAGTTTCTCGACTTGCGATTTGCAAATAGAAAGTCGATAACACCACGATACATCTTATTGCGATAACACAAAAATGTATTTAGTAAAACAGTAAACTTGTATAAAAGTGAAAACATCTTAGGTAGAGAAGTGAAAGTGGCCGGCAATGACCTTTAGTTGCTGACTACTGGGTAAATTCAAAGGGTGAAGCTGAATCGTTAGGCTGAGGTATATTTCATATGCACTGTGTCGTGGTGATAATTCAGTCACAGTTTCATAGCCTCCCATAATACCGAAAATTATTTAGTTTTTGACAAGGTGGCGTGTTACACAAAGTATTTAGGATAGCATTCTGAATGTTCAAACATCGGAGAGAAGTTATAAAAGTAAACCGACTTACATTACTATCCTGACTAGGAAAGGCATAAGATGAAGTTAGTAGGAAATTGCCGCTAGGGTTATTGTTATGGGATTCGCAAGAAGACCTCATTGGTGTTACGCACTTTTCTTTATGATCTTGTGCCAATTGGAGGTCATAAAATCTTCAGTCTCTACACCTGACAGGAACAAACCCCTGGACTTTTTATAGCGGGTCGTTCAGCGACATTCACAAAGTTTTTGACGTTATTCTGTGTAACTTCAAAACCGAGGTGGGAAGGAAATTCTCCACCCGCAAATAAGTCAGATATTCAGATATTCAAAAAGAGTGTTTCGGTGACTGTATAAGTTAAATCGTTAGAGATACAGCGCGGTACAATGGTAAAGATATGTTGGAAGATCTCAATGACACGGGAATAGTTAATTTCAATTACCAGGGCATAAATGTAGAATAATATTGATTTTTCTTAATGACTTTACTAACTTTCTTGTCAAGATGGAGCGAATTTGATAATTTCTAAGAGTACTGTACATAGCTTTGTGGGTTTTAGAGAATTAGATACATATTTTAATACTTTGATAAATATAAGGAATATTCGTTATTGATTTATGACATTTAAAATACATCATTTAATGGTAAGTTTAATTAATGAAATAAAGTTTCTTGTCAATATAAAATTTTATTTAAGTTAGTTATTAGACAAGTAAATTAATCCATCATAGTTAACTCGATTTACTTAATATCCCATAATAAATGTTATGTTTCTTTCTAAACTTAATTTTTCAATCTAGATGAGTTGCTAAGGAATAAAAGCATTGTTTTTAAATAAGACAGTAATTAAAAATATACTGTTATATAGATAGATGTTTGCCACGAGTATTTACCGTTACTACACTGAAAAAAACAACAGTTGCTTGAATCAGGCCGTGTCAAGTATTCGTTACTTGTATTTAAAAACAATGACCACCCAAACAATCGTACATTTTAATGCAAAACCAATGTCAAGAAATGATACACGGACAAAATATGCACATTTTGA